TTTTTATTATGTTAAACTATATATAACATAAAATATGCCATGTTAGCCATTTTTACGTGTATAATTCAGAGACATTAATTACATTCATAATATTGTACAACCATCATCACTATCTATATCCAGAACTTTTCCATCACCCCAAACAGAAACTTGGTACCCATTAAACAATAATTCCCCATCCACTCCTTTCCCCAGTCCCTGGTAATCTCTAATGTATATTGTGTCTCTATGAATTTACTTATTCTAGATATTTCATATATAAGTGGAAGTATGCATTTGTCTTATGTATCTGACTTATTTCATTTAACATAATATTTTCAAGACTCATCTGTGTTGTATGTATCAGAACGTTATCCTTTTCATGGCTGAATACTATTCCATTGAATGCATATACCACATTTGTTTATCCATTCATCTGTTGATGGACACTTGGGTTGTTTCCACATTTTTGGCTGCTGTGAATAATGCTACAGTGAACACTGGTGTACAAATATCTGTTTGAGTTCCTCTTTTCAGCTCCTTTGGGATATACCTAGGAATTATGTTTAACTTTTTGAAAAGCTGAGAAATCTTTAATAAATGATAACACAAATATGTATATTTGCCAATGCAAATATGAATATTTTTTGCTTTCTTAAGAGGTTGATAATTTTGCCACATGGTCGTAATTTTAAAAAATTGTCCCATGTTGTTTCAGTATTAATATTGTAGCCTAAAAGAGTGCTAGACTGTTTTACTTTTCTGCCCAGTTAATTATTCAGATACTGGTAGAGTCAGGAAATGAGATATTGAACTTAAAGATCTTTGTAGGTGGGGTCCAGTGGCTCACACCTGTAATCCTAGCACTTTGGGAAGCTGAGGTGGGAGGATTGCTTGAGGCCAAGAGTTTGAGAACAGCCTGGGCAACATAGCAAGACCCCATCTCTACAAAAAAAGGTAAAAAAAAAATTAAGCCAGGCGTGGTAGCTCACACCTGTAATCCCAGCACTTTGGGAGGCTGAGATGGGTGGATTACTTGAGGTCGGGAGTTGGAGAGCAGCCTGGCCAACATGGTGAAACCCCATCTCTACTAAAAAGATAAGAATTAGCCGGGTGTGGTGCTAATCCTGTAATCTCAGCTACTCAGGAGGCTGAGGCAGGAGAATCACTTGAACTGAGGAGGTGGAAGTTACAGTGAGCCTAGATCTCACCACTGCACTCCAGCCTGGGCGACAGAACAAGACTCTATCTCAAAAAAAGTAAAAATAAAAATTAGACACATGTGGTGGCACATGCCTGTAGTCCTAGGTACTCAGGAGGCTGACTGAGGTGGGAGGATATCTTGAGCCCAGGAGTTCAACACTGCAGTAAGCTATGATTGTGCCACTGTACTCCAGCCTACGCAATATCTCCAAACACATTTTTTAAAATAGATTATTAGGCCAGACGTGGCAGCTCATGCCAGTAATTCCAGCACTTTGGGAGGCCAAGGCAGGCAGATCACCTGAGACCAGGAGTTTGAGAACAGCCTGGCCAACATGGTGAAACCCCATGTCTACTAAAAATACAAAAATTAGCTGGCAATGCCTGTAATCCCAGCTACTTGGGAGCCTGAGGCAAGAGAATCGCTTGAACCTGGGAGGCAGAGGTTGCAATGAGTGGAGACTGCGCCACTGCCCTCCAGTCTGGGTGATACAGTGAGATTCTGTCTCAAAGAAAAAGGAATTTGTTTTCCTGTCTTTATAGTAGAGGGAGGAAAGGGAGAATGGGGTTGGAATGGTTACTGAGTGAGCCAAATTATGGTAGGTGTATCACTGGGCATAGAGAAAATGAGCATTTAAAACTTTTCCACCTAACAGATATTTCTTCAGGCTACACTGCACTCATTGTGCTAACTGTAATGTCAAATCCCAAACCTGTGCCTATAGAATATGAACATCCTTCATTGGATTTGTTTGGTAAGGCTTACACTTTATTAGGAAGATAAGATGTTAAAATAAGGGTGTTAAAGTTAAGTTCAGTTATGAGGATAATTCATTACTATTCCTTTTTTGGCAGCCTAAAGACGTAAGTGAAGAAGACATAAAAATTGTATTTTATTCATGGCTACAGCAGTCTACTACCACCATGCTTCCTTTGGTAATATCAGAGGAAGAATTTATTAAGCTGGAAACTAAAGATGGTGAGTACATTTGTTATTTTGACTTTTTTTTCTATTTAAATAGTTGTACATTTTTAATTGTTCTTGCAACCTGTCATACATGTGAACAGTATGTGAATAGTGAAATGTAATTATGATAATTAAACAGTAGATTTTATGTATTGAAAAATATATTTGGCTGAGTGCAGTGGCTCACGCCTGTAATCCCAGCACTTTGGGAGGCCAAGGCAGGTGGATCACTTGAGGCCAGGCATTCGAGAGCAGCCTGCCAACATGGTGCAACCCCATCTATACAAAAAAATACAAAAATTAGCCAGGTGTGGTGGTGTATGCCTGTAGTCCCAGCTACTTGGGAGGCTGAGGCGGAAGGATCACTTGAGCCCAGGAGGTCCGTGTTCATGCCACTGCACTCCAGCCTGGGCAACAGAGCGAGACCCTGTTGCAAAAAAAAAAAAAAGCCTTTAACTTAAATAAATTTGACATTTAAAATCTTAAATTATTTCATCTCTGTTTCAATACTAACTCTGTATTTATTACTTTCTTTTTAATAGGGCTGAAGGAATTTTCTCTGAGCATAGTTCATTCTTGGGAAAAAGAAAAAGATAAAAATATTTTTCTGTTGAGTCCCAATTTGCTGCAGAAGACTACAATACAAGTAATAGCATATTATTGAATATTTAATAAAATACTATTTGTTACATATGATCGATAATAAAGTATGAATTTCCTTGTAACATCTTGCATTGTGAAGTGTATTAAAAACCAGGTAGGAGTAAGGAATAACTTGATTTAAAATATTTTATTTTATTCTGTAATCTCTTTAAAGTATCTGTACAAATTATTGACTTATCCTAAATTTAAAAATGAATGCCTTAGCACAGTTAAGTTCCAAGAATAGAGTTGATCGTGTTAACTGGTAAATGGGTCATGATTTAAAATTCTTCTAGGATTGAAACAAATGAAAACGTAGTTTTAAGGGTTTGATTTTTTAAATTCCTATTTTTACATGCAATTTTACTGTACAAGCCATCATATTTTGACAGTTCTTAAATTTGCAACTCCAGAAATATTATCAGATCACTTTTCTTTGCTTCCATAAGTTTTTTTTTGTTTTTTTTTTTAAAGACAGTGTCTCACTTTGTCGCCCAGGCTGGAATGCAGTGGCACGATCATGGCTCACTGTGGCCTTGACCTCCCAGGCTCAGGTGATCCTCCCACCTCAGCATCCCAGGTAGCTGGGATCACAGGCACATGCCATAATGCCTGGCTAATTTTTGTATGTTTTGTAGAGATAGGGTTTCACCATGTTGCCCAGACTTGTCTTGAACTGCTGGGTTCAAGCAATTGTTCTGCCTTGCCCACCCAAAGTGGTGGGATTACAAGTGTGAGCCACTGCACCCAGCTCTTCTAGAAGTATTTTAAGAGTGGTCTTTTTTTTTGAGACGGAGTCTCGCTCTGTCACCCAGGCTGGAGGGCAGTGGCACCATCTCGGCTCACTGCAACCTCCACCGCCCGGGTTCAAGTGATTCTCCTGCCTCAGCTTCCCTAGTAGCTAGGATTATAGGCAAATGCCACCACGCCCTGCTATTTTTTGTATTTTTAGTAGAGACGAGGTTTCACCATGTTGGCCAGGCTGGTCTTGAACTCCTGACCTCAAGTGATCTGCCCTCCTTGGCCTCCAAAAGTGTGAGCCACCACGCCCAGCCAAGAGTGGTCTTTTTACAATATTATTTTTTGATTAGGACATTCATTCTTGTCATTATAAAACTGAAGATACTCTAGTTATTTAGAATTTCAGTGTTTTGGAACTAGACATTGTTTCTGTATTTTTGAAATATTATTGAAGGAATACCATTTGGAGAAGATACAAATGTAAGAATTGTGAAAGGATAATTGTGACACAAATCAAAATTATAAATAAAAATATATCTGTAAAATGTATTAAGGCAATAACATTCTTTCTGCTTGTTGACCATAAATATTTATGTTCTCTGGATGGGTACATTGTTATTGTCAAGGGTGTTTAAATAATGATCTTGCATGCGTAATTTATCTATTCTCTCTGGTATAACAGAATCAGCAATTTAGTTTTCTGGGACCCGAGAAAAACATGCAAAAGACATACTTTGAAATGTAAAACTGATTTTTCCTTGCAACTATAGGTCCTTCTAGATCCTATGGTAAAAGAAGAAAACAGTGAGGAAATTGACTTTATTCTTCCTTTTTTAAAGCTGAGCTCTTTGGGGTAAGAAGTTATGGCCAAACTAGCATGTTTAGAGACGTGTTTTCATATTATATCTGGCAGAGTTTTCAATGTAAATATTAAAATAGATGTTAATATCAATAAGTGATATTACTAATGCATTAGTAGATATTTTTTCAAGGATTGTCTCTATCTTCACGCCTAGCTTAAATTTGCCTTGTCTTCTTTTTTTTTTTTTTCTTTATTTTTATGTTTTTATCCATCCCTGGTGGTAGGGGATAACCTTGTCTTCTTCAATAACTAGAAGTCTGAAGCTTGTTAGAAATTTTACTTTGAGAATTGATCGATGAGAAGAAAGCAACTAGATATCACCTGGATCATATATGCTTGAATAAAACAATAATTCTTAGAACAAATAAATACATAAGCCAAAAACATTAGTTAAATGTTTAAAAATATTTCAAATTAAGTTATTCCTTCACTGTCTTGTATTACTATAATAATTTGGATTATTTGTGTTTTTCTCAACTTTTAAAACAAATATTTAAAAAATTCCTCTTTTGATTCAGTAGGGCTAGATTAAAATATAAAAAATATTTTAACTCCTCTTATTTTCCATATTTCTTATATAATATGAGAATCTCTTATAAGCATTACCTCTTAGAAGTCTTCACAGAAGCGTTGGTAGATGTAGTAGTAGCGCTTTGATTTCCTAGAATGGTATAATCTGTAAATGTTTTAGTAAAAGGATTAAACCATAAAGTCAAAACGTTTAAATATAGCACAGTGTTTATTAATATAAAATAAAATCTCTCTTTTTTTTTTTTTTTTTGAGATGGACTCTTACTTGGTCACCCAGGCTGGAGTGCAGTGTTGCAATCTCAGCTCATTGCAACCTCCCGCCTCTTGGGTTCAAGCAATGCTTCCTCATCAGCCTCCTTAGTAGCTGGGATTACAAGCATGCACCACCACACCTGCCTAATTTTTTGTATTTTTAGTAGAGATGAGGTTTCACCATGTTGGCCAGGCTGGTCTCAAGTGATCCGCCTGCCTCAGCCTCTCAATGTGCTGGGATTACAGGCGTGAACCACTGCGTCCTGCATAAAGTAAAATCTCTTCAGACTCTTATGTGATCATATAAAGTGGCAGGCAGTCACAGTCCAGAAGTAGTTTAAAGTTCATGTTTGTATAATGTAATCTACAGATTGATACTGGATTTCATAGGTAATGTTTAAGAGGAAATAAGTTTTTAGTTATCCTCAGTACTTCAAAAGCACCCATTTATGATTATGTTGATTACTAAATTAAATCATTTGAAGGTTAGAGGTGTTTTTGTGTGTGTGTTAAGATTCCTTAAGGAGTTCTATTAGGGCACAACTTTTAGTAACTGCACATTTTTAAAGTAATAAAACTAATTTTAAAGGCTTGGAGGCTGGGCTCACACCTGTAATCCCAGCACTTTGGGAGGCCGAGGCAGGTGGATCACCTGAGGTCAGGAGTTTGAGACCAGCCTGGCCAACATGGTGAAACCCTGTCTCTACTAAAAGTACAGAAATTAGCCAGGTGTGGTGGAGGGCAGCTGTAATCCCAGTTACTTGGGAGGCTGAGGCAGGAGAATCGGTTGAACCTGGGAGAAGGAGGTTGCAGTGAGCTGAGATCATGCCACTGTACTCTAGCCTGGGCGACAGAGCAAGACTCCGTCTCAAAAAAAAAAAAAGGCCTGGATTCAGTTTTGACATTAATCAGTATACTTTCTCTCAAGTAGGGGACAATTTCTAAGATTTTAGTCTTTTAAAATTTATTAACTAGTCTGAGCATGGTGGCTCATGTCTATAATCCCAGCACTTTGTGGGGCAGAGGCAGATGGATCCCTTGAGCCCAGGAGTTGGAGACTAGCCTGGGCAACATGGCAAAACCCCGTCTCTACAACAAATGAACACACAAAAAAACCAATCAGCTGGGTGTGGTGTTACACGCCTGAAGTCCCGGCTCCTTGGGAGACTGAGGCAGGAGAATCACCTTTGCCAGGGAGTTTGAGGCTGCAGGGAGCTGGGTTCACGCCACTGCACTCCAGCCTGGATGACCCAGCAAGCCCCTTTCTCAAAAAAAAAAAAAAAGATATAAAATAAATTAATTAACTATACTGGGAAGGCAAAATTCAGCATTTTTTGTAGCTAAATTTTATCCTGCTTCAGTCTTTTATCATGTAACCATGTATATCTTTTACAGAGGAGTAAATTCCTTAGGCGTATCCTCCTTGGAGCACATCACTCATAGCCTCCTGGGACGCCCTTTGTCTCGGCAGCTGATGTCTCTTGTTGCAGGACTTAGGAATGGAGCTCTTTTACTCACAGGAGGAAAGGTAAGTGGTTAAGGTGTGTTCATTTTTCTGTAACACTTAATAACTTTTCATTTACCTTTCTTTGGGTTTTGACCAGGTATTATATAGGGTTTATACGACATATGGAAAGCATTCATTTATTCACTAATATTTCTGTGTGTCTGCTTTTAGGTGTTGGGGGAGTAATGACGAATAAGAGTGATGTTCTCCATGCCCTTTTTCTGTGTCAGTTGATACAATTATATGGTTTTTCTTTTTTAGGCTATGAAGTGCTGATAGGGTTGAGTAACTTACAAATGTTGAACCAGCCTTGCATACCTGTGATAAATACCATGTAGTTGTGGTGTATCATTCTTTCTACATTGCTGAGTTTTATCTGCTAATGTTCTGCTGAGCTTTTGTCCATTTAAGTTTGAAAGTGATTAGTTTGCAGTTTTCTGTTTTTGTATTGTCTTTGTCTGGTTTTGCTATCAGTGTAAATCCGGCCTCATAAAATGAGTTGGGAAGTATTCCCTCTTCTTCTTTTATTTTTTTGGAAGAGACTGTATAAAATTGAGGCTGAATCTTGGTGGTTGCCATAATGACAGAAACTATTTCTGTGACTGAATATATTGGGAATTCTTACAAAGCAATTATTTTCTAGGGAAGTGGAAAATCAACTTTAGCCAAAGCAATCTGTAAAGAAGCATTTGACAAACTGGATGCCCATGTGGAGAGAGTTGACTGTAAAGCTTTACGAGGTATGAGTATGGTAACACTCTACATAAATCCCTTTTTCATTAGAAAGACAGGAATGTTATAATTAATGCTATCAATCTAAAAAATACACATATCATCTAGTCTTTAACTTTTCTGTTTATCATTTAGTCATTGAAATTTCTTAGAAATTTTAAGTCTTTGGCTTTCTAATGTTTTTGATAAAATTTCTAAAACTCTCCATATTTGATGGAAGCCTATTTTTTTTTCTAGCCAGAACTCTTTGTAGACTACATTCCTGGAAGTGCTCACTGACACCACTCTGAAAAATTAGTACTTAGAATATACTCTAATTGGTATAAATGATCTCTGAATTGCTATGGGAAACTGAGAGAATGGTTGCTTCAGGAGAGAGAAAGTAGGAGGCTGTGGACAGCAATGAGGAGAATTACAGTTTACCATAGAACACTTTTGTACTTTTAAAGTCCTTAACATTTACATTATCTATTCAATTAAAATTTTTTTTTTTTTTTTTTTACTTTGAACAGTCAATTTTTCCCCCTTGGGTACCTCTATCATATAGTTCCAACTAATCATGAACTTGTGTGTTTCCTGTTCTTTGTAAATTTAAACTTTGTAACTCACCAGGAAGTTTGAAGCCAAATTTGTGATTCAAATATAGCAACTCCAGGATCTCTAGGCAGATGCATTTGCATTTGATTTTACACGAATCTTGATCCCTTACTCTCACTTATGTTTTCCCACATCCTACTTTTTTTATTTTGTTGTAGGCCATCTAAAATTTTCAATGGAGTGAAACTGGGTATAAATGAATACATGCATACAGAAATTATAGTAGCATATTCCTTTTCTTTTTTCTTTTTTTCTTTTTTTTTTTTTTTCTTTTTTGAGACAGTCTTGCTCTGTCGCCCAGGCTGGAGTGCAGTGGTGTAATCTTGGCTCACTATAGCCTCCATCTCCCAGGTTCAAGCAATTCTCATGCCTCAACCTCCTGAGTAATTGGGACTACAGGTACATGCCACCACACCTGGCTAATTTTTGTATTTTCAGTAGAGATGGGGTTTCACTATGTTGGCCAGGCTGGTCTCAAACTCCTGAGCTCAAAGTGATCTGTCCGCCTTGGCCTCCCAAAGTGCTGGGATTCCAGCATAAGCCACTGCACCTGGCCTCCTTTTCTGAGTTTTATAAAATTTGATACTTTATTGTACCCTTTGAGACTGTATTAATTGAACCATGTTAATGATGAACAAGTTTTTGTGATTGGTATATTAATAAAATATAGATCAAATTTTTATAGTTAAATCAGTATTGAGCTTTTCTAGTGCTTTCAAAAGGACAACCTGAACTTTCCCAGCACTGAAATAATATTGAAACCATTTCATATCTTCTGTATTAAGGAAAAAGGCTTGAAAACATACAAAAAACCCTAGAGGTGGCTTTCTCAGAGGCAGTGTGGATGCAGCCATCTGTTGTTCTGCTGGATGACCTTGACCACATTGCTGGACCGCCTGCTGTCCCGGAACATGAGCACAGTCCTGATGCGGCGCAGAGCCAGCGGCTTGCTCATGGTAAATGCATCCACCACTCGGTTAAGGTCTTGTTCTTTTGTCAGTCAGCATTTTTAGTCTTAACAACAAATCTACTCTCTTCAGAGAATAATATATGTGTTATGTTAAGTGTTGTGTTTGAGGCCCCTGATAGCATTCTACAGTTGTCCTATAGACTATGTATTAGTAAATTGGTAGAGTAAAAACAGTGTGAAAATTCTGCAACTTCATGCTTAGTCCTTTAGGGTTTTTCATTCTCTTTTACTTACTGTTTAATTTACAGATTTACTCTTTTGTTCATTTGACAAATATTTGACAAACGCTTGTGCACAGTCTGTATTCTCAAAGTCTAGGAGAAAAAGAAGGGTGAACAGTGTTAGTACAGAACAATACTAATAATGATGGCTACTGTGTATGAGTAGCCATCCCTTTCTTGGCTTTCTTGGATTGCTTTGTATTCTGCATGAAGATATTCCCTGGGCTTTACAGGTCAATAAATGGAAATTCAGAGAGATTAATTTGACCAGGATGACCAACAAGGAGGTGACAGAATACACTATGCGAGAAATATACACAGAGTAGTGTAGGAGCATATAACCTATACTGGGGTTGAGGTGGGATAAGGAGTTATCAGGGAAAGCTTTTTAGAGGAGTTGATAACTGAGCTGAGTTTTGATGGAAGAGTAGAAATTAGCGTGAACCAATTTCATGCTAATAAAGAAGCAAAGGAAGCGTGGTCTACAGGCAAAAGCACAGAGGTGTAGGAAGTAATGATACTTTGGGGAATACCCTGTTGACTGGAGCTTAGAGTGCAAGGAGAGGAGTGCTAGGGAGGTGAGGTTGGAGGGTTTGGCAGCACTGACTTGCTTCAGGGTTCTTAAGAACTGAAATAGATATAAAATGCAACCAAGAGTGGCTTGGATTATATTACCTAGTGTGTTAATCTCAAATTTTGAAATCTATAGCATCTATAGGACTGGTGTTACTAATCTTACACTCGATCTGTTACTGTTCTTATACTAGATCTATTAGTCCAGAGTTTAAGGGAGTGCTGCAAATTTCTAGGTCAGGACAGGACTCAGATGTACATTATTAATGCCGATTTCAGTTCTGACCTTCTCGTATGAAACCTTACAAGACCTGGGGTAGGAAGAGATTGTTCTGGAAGTCGTAGGAATATGAGCTGTATTTTAACAAACAGAATACAGTATGGAAATTTATCACCCTTCTAGAATATTTATTTCAGAGACAAATTTTTATCATTTGTTCATTTCTTTCATAAGATCCACGAGTAGGGAACCTCATTAGACATTGCTCTGAGTATATGGTCTGAGTTTGCAGTACCTCTTGTGCTTCCATTAGATTTATTAGGTCCTTGATAGATAAATCAGGGAATAACTAGATGGATTCATTTTTTAAAGACATGAAAGAGTGATACCATACATACTCCACCTTAAAGGTCAACCTAGAGTATCATTATTTTTAATGAATGTATAATTTTTAAATTTCATGTTTATTTTTCCTAAGCTTTTACACTATATTGCTTAATTTCAGCTTTGAATGATATGATAAAAGAGTTTATCTCCATGGGAAGTTTGGTTGCACTGATTGCCACAAGTCAGTCTCAACAATCTCTACATCCTTTACTTGTTTCTGCTCAAGGAGTTCACATATTTCAGTGCATCCAACACATTCAGCCTCCTAATCAGGTAATACACTACTTGTAAGGATTATTGAATTATGTCCCTTTTCTAGAAATTATTTTTCAATTTTATTAGTAATTTGTGGCTTTAAACTTATGCTTCTATTAATGATCTTAAGGATATGTAAGTCAACATTTGATGCATGTTGTGCTAGAGGCATAAATTATAATTTATAGCCACCTGAAATGTTAGTATGCACTTTCCAAGAAAATGCCTTTTTTGAAAGTGGTATTTCTTTGAATGAGAAAAAACAGAAATAGATAGATGGCTTTTAAACACTTCATTAATTAAATTTTTTTTTCCACCATCACATAATGGCACTTAGTCCCCTTTGGGAACTCATGAGGGTTTTAGTGGCACTGAGCTGAAAGAAGTATGTTCCAGGACTGGCAAACATATTTTAAATTCTTAAAAAATTTCACCTAGCATCTACCCTAAATATTCAGACCCTGTGCTAGTTAACTGCTATTGAAGAACAAAGGTATTATATCTATTATTAAGGATAATAGAATGGTATTTGAGATATTGGTCACTGAATATGTTTTTAGAAATAAGTTTTATAGGAACCAAAAAAAAATTATTAAAGGAACCATGTATTACTAAAAATGCTTCTTACTGGAGAAAGAAATGACAATCATTATTAATGTGATTTTTTTACAACCTTATTGAGATATAATTTAAGTACAACAAATTCACATAAAGTGTATAATTTGATCAGTTTTAACATATGTAGATGCCATGAAACCATCACCACAATTAAGGAAACAAACATTTTCATCACTCCAGAAGCCTCCTAGCCTTTTTACTACCCATCCCTCCCCCACTCCATCCCCAGACAACTACCAATGTGCTTTCTGTCACTATAGATTTGTCAACTTGATTTTCTCCAAATATACGTTCTAAAATATACAGTTGAATAAAATTGGAAATTTGAATTTTGTGCTTTTCTTTAGGAACAAAGATGTGAAATTCTGTGTAATGTAATAAAAAATAAACTGGACTGTGATATAAACAAGTTCACCGATCTTGACCTGCAGCATGTAGCTAAAGAAACTGGAGGGTTTGTGGCTAGAGATTTTACGGTACTTGTGGATCGAGCCATACATTCTCGACTCTCTCGTCAGAGTATATCCACCAGAGAAAGTATGTTTTACTATTAAAACCTGAACTTGGAATCTTCTTTCTATTGTGGAGAAATGTAATTGTAGTAAGACAAGAATTAAATATATTCCATTGTAGTATTTGAATAAGCAGTTATTTGAGTAGAAAATTAGTGTTTCCAGCTAAAATGATGGCATATTTTGAAAATTCATATAGTGAAATATAACTACTAAAAGAAATTTTGTTTATTTTTAAACAGAATTAGTTTTAACAACATTGGACTTCCAAAAGGCTCTCCATGGATTTATTCCTGCGTCTTTGCGAAGTGTCAACCTGCATAAACCTAGAGACCTGGGTTGGGACAAGATTGGTGGGTTACATGAAGTTAGGCAGATACTCATGGATACTATCCAGTTACCTGCCAAGGTATGTTTAAAAAAAAAAAAAGAAAAAGTGAATACTTACTCCCAGAAGAACCACTGTATTATTGGCTTTGGCTTTATGTGTTAGCTTGCCCAATCTCCATGTGAGTCAACAAGTGTTTACTGACACTATTTTAGGTATCTAAATAAATATCTGACACTATTTTAGGTACTTTAACAAATTTTTATTTTATTAATTAATTTTTTATTAGAGTTGAGACCTCACTGTCATCTAGGCTGGAGTGCAGGGGCACACTCACAGCTCACTGCAACCGTGAACTCCTGGGCTCAAGCAATCCTCCTGGCTCAGCCTCCCCAGTAGCTAGAACTGCAGGCATGAACCAACATGCCCGGCTAACTCTTTAATTTTTGTAGAGACAGAGTCTTGCTATGTTGCCCAGGCTGACAGATTTTAATGTGTATGATGCAGTCTTTGACCATAAGAAACTTATAGAAAGCTGAGGTGATAGTTACAGTAAATACATTTTGATGTATAATTCTGTTTGCTTTAATCATTCAAATTGTAGTAAAACAAGATGAACTGTCTGCTGCGATTTGAGCAGAAATGGATAGGAATAAACTAGGAGGTAGAAGAGTTATCAAGGTTAACAGGACTGATGGGTGAAGCTAGATTTCCAGACCTGGGATGAAAAGCAGAGTTGGCAGGTATAGACGAGGCAGATGGCAGGATAAAGGAGACAAATGTAGATTGTTCTTCAGAAGATCAGATGGTAGAGTCTAGGAGGTAGTGTGTTTTAATCAGAAATCTGAGAGGCACAGATCATTGCATAAGATCAGGGACCCGTGCAAAGGAGTGAGAAAAAAAATATGGGTAAGGACCCTGGGTTTCATGTAACTGCATGGCAACTCCTAGGAACAGTGGCCACTGGAGCCTGGGACATGCTGATTGCAGCCCAGGACTATTAAAACCAGTGTGAGAGAACATGGGCATGGAAGTACTAGCTAGCAGGATCATGATCCCAATGCTGGGATTGGGTGGGCATCGAGCATTAGTACATGGAGATTCAGTACATCCAGATACAGTACATGGAGACTATATGTGTAGTTACATATATAGTCTGGGCTTCTTTCAGATTAGAGCAGAAGTAGAGGTGAGTGGGAATATTCTCAATAGAGGGAACTAAATAGGCATACCTAATAAAGGAGACCAGGATATTGCTGACAGTAGCCTCATGTTTGGCTCACCTGTTCAAAAAGTCCTCTTGTTCTCGAGCAGTGGTGCTTTAAAAGGTAATTTGAGAAGCAGTCGATTATTTGTTCAGCCTGGAGACTCTTGGGATATTTTACTATCTTTGATTGAAGAGATTTGAATGTACACAGCCCTCATAACTTGCCCCATGAAGCATATCCGTGAAAGGCACTATACTTGTTAAAAGATTGGTTTGTACTTTTAAAATGTAGTACTTTTAATAAAACAGGAAAAATAGAAAGAAGTTCTGATGCAGTTATATGCATTTTATATAGAATGTGTTCTTAATTGGAAAAAATTTGTAGTAGTTCCTTTGAGTTCATTTATAGTTTTTTATTTTCTACTGTTGTACTTGCTGTTACTGAAGAAAGGTGGTGGTGATTACTATCTGAATATTTTTTTCTATACATTGATCTTTAGCTGCTACTTAGTCATTTCTGTTTAGACTTGAGCTCTTTTTCATATTTTTTTGTTGTTGTTGTTTCTCAGTATCCAGAATTATTTGCAAACTTGCCCATACGACAAAGAACAGGAATACTGTTGTATGGTCCGCCTGGAACAGGAAAAACTTTACTAGCTGGGGTAATTGCACGAGAGAGTAGAATGAATTTTATAAGTGTCAAGGTATGTTGTCCACTTCTTTTTCATTGAGGCAAAATTTACATAAATGCAGTTAGCCATTTTAAAGTGTACAATTCACTGACATTTAGTGCATTCACAATGCTATGCAACCACCACCTCTTTCTAATTTCAAAACTTTTTCATTCCATTCCTTCTTCCGCTCATCCCCTGGCAACCATTAATCTGCTTTTTGTCTCTATAGTTTGCCTTTTCTGTATATTTCATATAAAAGGAATCATGCAGTATGTCACCTTTTGTGTCTGGCTTCTTTCACTTATGTAAAGTTTTCATGGTTCATCCAGGTAGTAGCATGTATCAGTACTTCATTCCTTTGCATGACTGAATAATGTTACCATACTTTCTTTATCCACTTATCAGTGGTGAACATTTGAATTGTTTCTACCTTTTGACTATTATGAATAATGTTGCTGTAAATATTCATGTACAGATTTCTCCATGGACATGTTTTTATTTCTCTTGGGCATAAGCTGAGGAGTAGAATTGTTGGGTCTTAGGGTAATTCTCTAACTTTTCAAAGAACCACCAAACTGTCTTTCACACCAACTGCACCATTCCCACTGGCAACGTGGAGGGTTCCTGATTCTCCACATCTTTACCAACACCATTATGTTTGTCAATTGTGGGCTAGTCTCACATTTGGAAAGCTAGTAGGAACAGCGATCCATCTATTAAAAGTTGTGTGCGGCTGGGTGCGGTGGCTCACACCTGTAATCCCAGCACTTTGGGAGGCCGAGGCGGGCGGATCACAAGGTCAGGAGATCGAGACCATCTTGGCTAACACGGTGAAACCCCGTCTCTACTAAAAATACAAAAACTTAGCCAGGCGTGGTGGCGGGTGCCTGTAGTCCCAGCTACTCGGGAGGCTGAGGCAGGAGAATAGCGCTTGAACCCGGGAGGCGGAGCTTGCAGTAAGCCGAGATCGCGCCTCTGTACTCCAGCCTGGGCAACAGGGCGTGACTCCGTCTCAAAAAAAAAAAAAAAAAAAAAAGTTGTATGACATTGAGTAATGAGCCACCTCTCTCGTTGGGCTTATTATGGTCTTGCTTAAGGCAAATCTTCATGCATTGTGAACAGAATTATACATAAATACTCAGATAAAAGGGCAAACTATTCTTAAAGGGAGTAGACAACTAGAGGCTGGAGACCATACTGAGGCAGGAAGCTGGGGTTTTCATGGTTCTGTTACTTTTGACTATATCTCACCCTTGCTTGTGTCAAAGTGAGACTAGGTCTAAGTTTTTTTCAGGTATAAGGTGAGTGTGGTAATTAAGAGGCATGCTAGCAGATCATTTTGGGTAATGCTTCACAGCTCACCACTGGTGTGTCATTGTGGTCGAAGATCCAGTATCTTAGCTGTATAGTTTCAGTACATCAGCAATATTAGTTTAACAAAGGGCAATTAGATTCCAAGACAAAGGAATCATGTATTATTCTAGCCTTACTCAAACTTGATTTATAAATCAGTTAGTAATTTATTTATTTTTTTCTATATTTATTTTCATTTTTTTGAGATGGAGTCTCACTCTATTGACCAGGCTGGAGTGTACTGACACAATCTTGGCTTACTGCAACCTCCGCCTCCTGGGTTCAAGCTAGTCTCCTGCCTCAGCCTCCCGAGTAGCTGGGGTTACAGGCTAATTTTTGTATTTTTAGTAGAGACGGGATTTCACCATGTTGGCTAGGCTGGTTTTGAACTCCTGATCTCAAGTGATCTGCCCGCCTTGGCCTCCCAAAGTGCTGGGATTACAGGTGTGAGTCACAGCGCCCAGCTCAGTTTTGTAATGTATAACTGGGTTTTACCCAGTCGTAAATTACTCTTTTATCATGTTTTTTTGTGAACTGGCAATGATGGAGAAACACTAAAATGCCAGGCTGTTGCCTTGTTCCTGTTATTTGCCTTAGTTCTTTTTTCTTTTTTTTTCTGAGACTGAGCCTTGCTGTGTTACCAGGCTGGAGTGGAGTGGTGTGATCTCGGCTCACTGCAACCTCCGCCTCCTGGGTTCAAGTGATTCCTGCCTCAGCCTCCCGACTAGCTGGGATTACAGGCTCCTGCCACCGCACCTGGTGAATTTTTTTTGTATTTTTAGTAGAGACGGGATTTTACCATGTTGGCCAGGCTAGTCTTGACCTCCTGACCTCGTGATCCACCCGCCTCGGCCTCCCAAAGTGCTGGGATTACAGGTGAGAGCCATAATCCCAGCCTTGCTTCAGTTATTTCTTTTAGCCTCCTCTAGTCCTATAGTTCTCTGACTGTACTGAGGAAATGTAATTAAATATTATTACATTAATAGATATCTATGTGGTTGAATATTAGAAATTCCTTATTTTGGTCACGTATCTTGATCAGTAGTTGGTCTTTTGGAGATAGTGATTTTTCACTACAGATTTCTTTAGGACCTATTCAGTTTTTTTTTAAAGATTCCAATTTAAGGAAAGACTATTCTCATTGATTTTGCTATATGCAGGGAAGTTTATTTCGAAAGGTTTTTCAGTTGGCTTTTAGGGAAGATTATATATTCTTTTTTTTTTTGGCCTTTTCCCACGTTCTAAAAATGATATATTCTTTAAATCCTGTGCAAATACATTGTTTCAGTAATTGAAGGTGCTGATTAAAGTCATATCTCTACACATTTTTTAAATTTTAGATGGAACTTTGTCCCTTCTTAAACCATTCACTTATTCACTTGAAAAAAATTATTTATCTAATACTTACGTGGCAGACACTGTTTCTGGCACAAGGGATTCAGCAGTGAACAAAACTGCCTTTTTGGAGTTTACATTCTACTAGTGGAGAGTGACAATAAGCAGATAGACACATTCAGTATATAATCCACTGTCAGATGGTGATAGTAAGTCCTATGGAGGAAGAAAAGCAGGGTAAGGAAGCTTAGAGTAAACTGGAGTGAGTCATAGATGGACGTGTCAGAAAAGGGTTTCTGAAGAGGTGGTATTTGAGCAGAGATCTAAATAAAATGAAGCAACAAGCCATGAGAATATCTGGGGGAAAATGTTCTGGGCAGAAGAAACACCAAGCATAGAACTTGTGGTATGTTATTTATTCTAGCACACATTAATTTTAAAAATGTATAAAAGACATCCATTTAATCATATGAAAGATTTCCATGATTCATTTAGTCAGAAACCAAATTTATATTTTCTTTTTAAATAATTTTATCTCAACTCTAATTTTATTTTACCCATAGGGGCCAGAGTTACTCAGCAAATATATTGGAGCAAGTGAACAAGCTGTTCGGGATATTTTTATTAGGTTGGTTCCCTATTAATGTTTTTAAAGTAACTGACTCTGTTATTATTTATCAATCAGTGCTTTTTTTGTTCTTGTTTTTTGAAGAACTGATATTTGAAACCTGTGGTTTATGTGAATTATTAATAAGCTAGAGGACATGGATTCTCTATTTCACCAAATACTACAAAATATTTTAGATATTAAATTTTGGAAATTATTTGGTTTTGTATTTACAATAGAAATACTCCTCAAAGTGGAATCGAAGTGGTTATTCAAAGAAATCTCAAAGTAGATTCTTATATGAAGCAAATAATTGCCCCTAATTTATCTCTAAATTTTCTAAGTTCTAAATTCTTTTTTCCCCCAGTCTCTAATTTATCTCTTATAAATCAAGAGTCCATCTGGCCAATTTAATTTCCGTGAGTGTAACTATTTTGCATATATTAAAAAACTGCATATGAATATAGAAGATGGTATGTAAGGATGAAAATAATTATTCAAATGTGATAGCATTATGGGGAGTTTTAAAATAAAAGTTACTGTTTTATTCTTCCAAAAATTTTATTATAAAATGTACAGTTAAGAGAATATATATAAAATACTTATGCATCTTAAGGAAGAATAATAAAATGAATACTTCATGTATTCACCACCCAGTTTACCAGGAAAAAGCATAAACAAAATAAACCTCTTCTACGTAATTCCTGGGTTAAAGAGAGGTTATAGTGGAAAATATTTGGGAGCAAATGATAATGAAAATACTATCCATTAAAATTGTTAGATGTTGCAAAACTGATTTCAAGGAAAATTTATAGCCTTAAATGTTTAGAAAAGAAAAAAGGTTGAAAGTTAACCACTTATGTATCTATCTCATGAAATTAGGAAAATTATAGATGTACACTAAAAAATAGGTTAAAAGGGAAATAATAAAGATAAGAATGAAGTTTAATGAAACACAAAACAGAGAAGCTCACAAAGCCAAAATTTATTTTTTGAACACTGAGTACAATTGACAATCTCTAGCAAGTTTGATAAGAAAAAAAAAAAAGCATGAATAAACAATTTTAGGGATAAAAAGGGAACCATAACTAAAGATATCCCAGAAATGTAAAAGATAATAAGGGAATATTATGAAAATATTTATGACAATACATTTGAAAACTTAGGTGACACAGACAAAAATAAAATTGACCAAAATTGAACCAAAAAGAAATAAAATCTGAGTAGTCCTATAACTTAGTGAAAAAACTGAGTTAGAAAAGTTAAAAAAATCTTTACACAAATCAAACATCAGACTCAGTTTTCTAGGAGAGTTCTGCCAAACATGCAAGTAGCAGATAATTCTGGTCTATTTTTGGCCCCAGAAGATATATTTTACTTGCCATGCATTTAATGAGATAGCTGTTGGTTTTTTTCAATCACCATGACAGGTGTTTTATATTAGGTGTTATTCTCCAGACATCTAGTCCACCTGTTGCCAGAGATGGAATTAATATTCACTTCTTTAGAATTAAAATTTGTTAATAAATTTAATAAAACTAAAAGTCAAAGTTCAGATTATTAGAAAAGTAAAAGAAAATATATTTTTTGGGAGGCCGAGACGGGCGGATCACGAGGTCAGGAGATCGAGACCATCCTGGCTAACATGGTGAAACCCCGTCTCTACTAAAAACACACAAAAAATTACCCAGGCGCAGTGGCGGGCACCTGTAGTCCCAGCTACACGGGAGGCTGAGGCAGGAGAATGGCGTGAACCCGGGAGGCGGAGCTTGCAGTGAGTGGAGATTGCGCCACTGCACTCCAGCCTGGGCGACAGAGAGACTCCGTCTCAAAAAATAAATAAATAAATAAATAAATAAATAAGAAAAAAATTTTTTAATAGCCCTTACAAAACAGTACCAGCATAATGAGCTTTCCAAATTTTGAATGGGCAAAAAAATGAATAGGCATTTCACCAAAGAAGTAAGGGTGGCCAATAAGTATATATTAATATAAAAATGGTTACTTGTAATAGAAAGCAAACAAGTGTTTGACTTATTGACCAAGAGTCAGATTTTTGTTTTCGTCCCCGTTAGTCTATCCAGAAGGCACGGGTCTTAATAAACACCTTGACCTCAGCAGTTTACTGAATACGAGGGCAATTTCATATACCTTGCCTTCTTTAAGGGTTTGTTGTAAAGATTAAAATAAGTACATAAATATATATAAATACATTTATGTGTTTATATGTAAATACATACAACTTGCCTTCTTTAAGGGTTTGTTGTAAAAATTAAAAGTACATAAATATATATAAATGCATAAATACATTCATATATATATATGAAATCACTTTGCAAACTCTGAAGCCTGATTCAAATATGAAATGTTGTTTGTTTTTCCCAGAGCACAGGCTGCAAAGCCCTGCATTCTTTTCTTTGATGAATTTGAATCCATTGCTCCTCGGCGGGGTCATGATAATACAGGAGTTACAGACCGAGTAGTTAACCAGTTGCTGACTCAGTTGGATGGAGTAGAAGGCTTACAGGGTAATAATTATAAATACAGAAATAGAATGTTATAACAAAATGTCATCATGTCATCAGATTTTAGTAAAAAAATGTTCTTTTTTCCTCTAGGTGTTTATGTATTGGCTGCGACTAGTCGCCCTGACTTGATTGACCCTGCCCTGCTTAGGCCTGGTCGACTAGATAAATGTGTATACTGTCCTCCTCCTGATCAGGTGACAATTTCATATTTAGAGTCCAAAACCCAACAAATGCTACACTCTTTCCTTGTGAGCTTTACTTCTGCCAGGTAATGGCAATTGTCCTTAGAAGATCAGCTTTCTTAGGGAAAAGCTTTAGCCACTGTTTGCTCAAAGCATAAAAAGATTCTGAATTAGATGCAAAGCCTTTCTTTGGCCCAGTGCAAGTCTGAAAACTTTGTAATCCTTCTGTGTTAGCTGATTGGGGGAAAAAAATGCAAGAAACCTAAAGTATTATATTTTCACATTCTCTTCTGTTCAACGATTACATCCATTATCCTGTCAAAAAAAAACTCTGATACAGAATCAAGCATGTGAATCATAAGCATGTAAGCGGTTTCATAGAGATAATTTTTCAACTCTTCCTAGTCCTGTGTTGTTCCAACTGCTATTCTCCAATTTAGAAGCAAGCAAATAAATGAATGAAAGAACAGATAGACAAATGAATAGTCAAAGGTATAAAGTATCTGAATATATGTTACATGTAGCTATTATTTAAATTATTTAGATTTTCCTTTTGAAATCCCTTCTTGGCACACTTGCCTAAATGTAGAAAATAACCACTGTGTGAATAAGAAATTACTTACACTGAATATTTTGTAGGTTTTTGCTTTTTTCTTTTTCAGACAAGGTCTCACTTTGTCACCCAGGCTGGAGTGCAGTGGTACGATCACAACTCACTGCAGCCTCTGTGTCCCAGGCTCAAGCAATCTTCCTACCTCAGCTTCCCGAGTAGCTGGGACCACAGGCGCACGCTACCACGCCCAGATAATTTTATTTTTAATTTTTGTGTAGAGATGGGGTCTCCCTGTGTTGCCCAGGCTGTTCTTGAACTCCAGGGCTCAAGTGATCCTCCCATCTCAACCTCCCAAAGTATTGGGATTACAGGTGTGCCACCATGCCCAGCCTTAAGAGTGGTGATTTTCATTCATTTTCCTACATATATTATTTCTGTTGGGGAAAAAGTTCCAAGGAAGATAAATAGTAGGCTGTTGGTACATTTCGCAATTTATTTATAAAGCTTTTTTAGATATATAAGGTTAATTTATGAAGAAAATCATAAGACACACAATTTAAGATAATATTTTTAATATTTTTTATTTGTTAAATAAATTTTTCTCCCTTCAGGTGTCACGTCTCGAAATTTTAAATGCCCTCAGTGACTCTCTACCTCTGGCAGATGATGTTGACCTTCAGCATGTAGCATCTGTAACCGACTCCTTTACTGGAGCTGATCTGAAAGCTTTACTTTACAATGCCCAATTGGAGGCCTTACATGGAATGCTGCTCTCAAGTGGACTCCAGGCAAGTTATATGAGGAAGTTGTTATGACATTTTATGAGTGATAAGAGAAGTACAATGTCAAAATTTCAACCTTAAAAAAATGCTATTTTTTAAACAACTTTGGTAAAACTGTATAGAAGTATAAGTTTACCTTTAGTTGAATGTTCCATAGTTGGAATATGGGTTTTGCAGAGAATTTATAATTATGAAGAGTTTGGTGTCTGTTTCTTTAACATTACCTTAATATTGGCAAAAACATGTTGGTGTTTGCAAGGATATTATTTAAATTAGGATACCATGAATTAAATACTACAAACAGAAAAATAATTAGAGTTTTTAGTTTTTTGTACTTTAACTTCTAAAAAATAATTAGTTAAAGCTGTTGTTTTGAAGCTCAAATTGTCCCAATCTGGCCAATAGGAGCCCCTTTTGTATGGCTCCTATATCTTTATGACATGTCCTCATCATTCTTGAATCACTTCCTCACTTCCAGATACAGTAAGTTATTCTTGGCCAGGTGCAGTGGCTCATGTCTGTAATCCCAGCACTTTGGCAGGCCAAGGCAGGAGGATCATTTGAGCCTAGTTTGAGACCAAACTATGGTTACACAAACTATACCCATTATGGACAACAGAGTGGGACTTGTCTCTACGAAAAATTTAAAAATGAGCTGGCCATGGTGGTGCACACCTGTAGTCCTAGCTACTCGGGAGAGGCTGAGGCAGGAGGATCACTTGAGGAAGTCCAGGATGCAGTGAGCCATGATTGTGCCACTGCACTCCAGCATGGATGACAGAGTGAGACCCTGCCCCCCAAAAAGAAAAATATTCTTGGTTTATCTTGTGCTTTCTGTATCCCAACCTTAGCATCAGCCTTTTCTCTAAAGATAGTATTATGATTTTAATATTTACAGTAGATATTTGAACTGTTACATTATAGACTTTACCATATATTTTCTAGGAAGGATTATTCTATTACTCTTCTTTACCACATTTGGTTGGAATGTCTACAGAGCCTACAGTTTCTAAATCAGATACTCCCTAAGTTTTTGCTATTTTGGCAAGCCATTGAAGTTCTCCCCTCTCCCTTTACTACCAGAAAGGTGTGTATTTGTAGAGCTCTCTATAATGAGAAAGCACTCTATAACATGTTGATTCATCATTTTGGAGTAGAAAAGTATGAATGGAATGTCAGAGACATAAAAATAAAGCCCAGAGGTCTGAGTCTTAGCTTCATTACAGACTTTCTTGGGGGATGGTTGGTAAATTATCTACACATTCTATGTTATCTTTATATTTTAATAGTTAAATTTTTACCATGTGCCTCAAAACCATTAGAGAATTAATGAGTTTTTTGAAAAATGCTTCTAAGTTTCTTGTATTGCTGTGATAGAATACTATGTTATTATTTATTTCTGAGACTAAAATTGTTTACATCTTTAAACTGGTTGTCCTTTTGTGTATTTTAGGATGGAAGTTCCAGCTCTGATAGTGACCTAAGTCTGTCTTCAATGGTCTTTCTTAACCATAGCAGTGGCTCTGACGATTCAGCTGGAGATGGAGAATGTGGCTTAGATCAGTCCCTTGTTTCCTTAGAGATGTCCGAGATCCTTCCAGATGAATCAAAATTCAATATGTACCGGCTCTACTTTGGAAGCTCTTATGAATCAGAACTTGGAAATGGAACCTCTTCTGATTTGGTATCTTGTGCAGTCGTCATTATGCAGTTCTGAAATATAAAGCTACATGTTGGTGTAAAGTTGGAGTGATTTCTCTCCTAACCAGCCCCACATATTCTTCCTGGTTGGTTGGTTCTTCAGTAAAATAGTTTTGTTTCTTGCTTACACTAATTGGTAATTTGCATTCCTTGTTAAGATTTTTAAGACAGGGCTGGGAGCAAGGAACCAAAGTCGTGCGTGGTTGTGGTTACCTTTGGTTTCTTTGAGGTTTCTCTCTCTTACGTAGTGGTTTTAAAATATCTTTAGGAGCAGTTCCATTTTATAGTAAACTTAAATTCTATTATCATGAACAGTTGAGGATAATGAATAATTTGATACAATAATGTAAGAAATTCCTGAAAACAAAATATTATCTGTGATACTTTTGCTGCAAAGTGTAAGCACAGTGAAGGGTGCTAATAATGTTTCAACAGGAAAGTGTTTTGATTAAATGTAGGCAGTATCACTGTTCTACTAGCATTCAACATCTCTTCTCAAAATTATTAGTGGTTCACTGTAATTTTATTGGTACATGTAACATTTGTACATGTATTTGGTTATTTATATGTTTCCTGGTTTTTTGTACACTTACTTTTATTAATTTAGGCTTTTTTTTTTTTTTTTTTTTTTTTTTTGAGACAGTCTCACTCTATCACCCAGACTAGAGTGCAGTGGCACAATTATGGCTCACTGCAGCCTTGACCTCCTGGGCTTAGGTGATTCTCCCACCTCAGCCTCCTGAGTAGCTGAGTATGCCACCATGCCCAGCTAATTTTTGTACTTTTTGTAGAGACGAGGTTTCACCATGTTGCCCAGGCTGGTCTCAAACTCCTGGGCTCAAGCGATCTGCCTGCCTTGACTTCCCAAAGTGCTAGGATTACAGGTGTGAGCCACTATACCTAGCCTAAGTCAGACTTTAAAAATATAAAAGCAATTCATTTGTATTCCCAAGAATAGTAAAGTGGTGGTTTAATTTTGGTCTTTAATTCTGTTTTTTATTTATTCTATCTAGAAATGTCCCAGAGACTTAGTATAAATTTACTTTCCGAAAACAAAGAAACCTGTCCTTGGGCATTAGTGTGTTGGATTTAAGCAACGAAGTTAAAAAAACCTACCCTGTGTTATGGCAATTTTCGCTCGATGGTGGTTCTATAACACAGGTATCAGTGAACCTTTATAGAAGAGGAACAACTTTTCAACTTGCTTAATTTCAGTTAATTAACATGTATACTTATCTATGTTAATGTCTTATTGCTTAAAATGTTTAATGTTTATCTTTGGTAAACACATAGTTTCTTCTCTCCCCCTCTTCCTTTCATCTTTCATTACTACAATTTACCACGCAGAGCTCACAGTGTCTCTCTGCACCAAGCTCCGTGACTCAGGATTTGCCTGGAGTTCCTGGGAAAGACCAGTTGTTTTCACAGCCTCCAGTGTTAAGGACAGCTTCACAAGAGGGTTGCCAAGAACTTACACAAGAACAAAGAGATCAACTGAGGGCAGATATCAGTATTATCAAAGGCAGATACCAGAGCCAAAGTGGAGTATGACTTTTCCCCCCTCATTATAATTGTTAAAACTTCTTAAAAATTGTTTCACCCTTTTGATATGTATTTCTTTGACTTATAAATGAGCTATATTTATAAACAAGGGACCAGAACACATTAACTCAGTCATGGTTATGTGCTTCCTTGCTTTCAGTGTTTCATTATCTTATAAGGAAGAGAATGTATGGTCTCTTGAAAAAACTGACAAAAAGAAATAACAATTGGACTACCATATTTTTTTTCACATCCCTAATTTAACTCTTTGTCAATTTCTTTTTTTACTTAAGGAGGATGAATCCATTAACCAACCAGGACCAATTAAAACCAGACTGGCTATCAGTCAGTCACATTTAATGACTGCACTTGGTCACACAAGACCATCCATTAGTGAAGACGACTGGAAGAATTTTGCTGAGCTGTAAGTAACAGATTCTGTTTTGGAAGTACAGCTACTATTGTAAGTGACATAGTATTACACTTAAACCTTTAAAGTTCGTGTTTAAAATAAAAAAAAATTTTGAATATGTAAAAGCCAATTCAAAAATATGTGTCGTATTTGCATTTAAAAATACCAAAATTTCAGAAGTACAGAAGTCAAAATTGAGTTTTCATTAACCAGTTCATTTGATTATATTTGAATTATTCATAATAGACTCATTTAATTTTAGTAACTTTGGGCTGAGCGCAGTGGCTCATGCCTGTAATCCCAGCACTTTGGGAGGCCAAGGCAGGTGGATCACCTGAGGTCAGGAGTTCGAGGCCAACCTGACCAACATGGGGAAATCCCATTTCTACTAAAAATAAAAAAATTAGCTGGGTGTGGTGGCATGCACCTATAGTCCCAGCTACTCGGGAGGCTGAGACAGGAGAATTGCTTGAACCCAGGAGGTGGAGGTTGCAGAGAGCCGAGATCGCACCACTGCACTCCAGCCTGGGTGACAGAGCAAGACTGTCTTGCTAAAAAAAACAATTTAGTAACTTTGAAGAAATAAGGAAAATTAAAAGTTCAAAGTGATTCTAATGTCTAGTTTATAAAATTTTGTTATAAAAACACCTGTTTTGCCTTCAAAATAATTTATATTAATATTTTATTGATCTCAAGAACAAATAAATACATTCAGATTTATTCATTTGTGGACCACATTTGTTACACATTGGATTTAAAGGATCCTTGCAATTGAGTTTATGACCACCTATGAATCTGAGACCCATGGACTGGGAAGCATTCTAGGTCAATGATTCAGTGTAATTGAATTTAAGAGATGTTTATTCCTGGTCTTTAGAAGCTGCTGTCCTTTGCTATCTAATTTTGCAGTACTTTGGAGTATGTATGTATGTGTACATAAGTTAGTGCTATGTATTTATTAAAGAAGAATCAGAAAACAGAGGTAAGGAAAAACAAGGAAACAAATTTCCCTTAACCTCACCACCTCCCAAAGCATATCTGTTTATATGCTTATATATTTTTTCCTATTCTGATAAGAACAGTCTGTACATATTGCTATATAGCAGTCCCCCTTTATCCACATACATCCTGAAAATTGTTTTACATTTTAAATGTTAATTACTTTATTGCTTTTAAATGTCATTTTATAGTGTAGCTATGCCACAATATCCAATTTTTAGACATTTAAATTGCTCCCAGGCAATGTGGTAATGAACATTCTTGCAGCTGAATATATGCACATATCTAATTGTTTCACTGGGATAGAGGTGGAATTGTTGCGTAACAGGGAGTTCACAATTTTTAAGGCTTTCGAAATGTATTGCCCAATTGCCTTCCAGAAATACTGTACAATATATATTTCAACAGCATTATGTGAGAGTGCCAGATATACTGCACCATCACAAACATTGTGTGTTGCAGTATTTTTCTAAACTTGGCCCTTTTGATTTTAGAAAAATGATATCTTAATAATTTACATTTATTTGATTAAAAGTATAGAAGTTACAATTTTTCATATTATTCATTGTCATTTGTATTTTATCTTTTCTAACTTGTCTCTTCTTCCCCTTTGCTCTGTTTTCTATTGGAATGCAACTTTATTTGTAAGAATTCTTTTTAATTTCTGCGACTGGCATTTTTTTTTCTAGTTTGTTATTTCCCGTTCATTTCTTTTGTGTTTGCCAACAATCCATTATCTTTTGTTTTATGATGGTAGTATTTACACATATTAAATTATCTCTTTCTTTTTTCAGATATGAAAGCTTTCAAAATCCAAAGAGGAGAAAAAATCAAAGTGGAACAATGTTTCGACCTGGACAGAAAGTAACTTTAGCATAAAATATACTTCTTTTTGGTTTTGTTTTGTTTTGTTTTTGATGGCTTGTCCATATGTTGTAACAGGAAAAAAATGGTGTCTGTAAATTTCTTCTTAATTTAACAAATGTGGTTAATTTATAAAATCACAGATTGATAAATGCTATAATTAGGTAATGATCAGGACTGAGATTAATACTGTAGTATAAATTAGGACATTTATAACAGATTCCATATTTTATTTCCTATAAATAATATTAGCCAAATGCTGGAACTAATTTATTTCTTTTGAGGAAAACATAATAAAGAATGTAATTAAATTTAAATTTCTTGGAATTCCCAGTTGTATATTCATCATCTTTGTAGCATTTGACAAATTTTATGCTTAGCAGCTTCTTCACTGTTTTGAAATAAAATATTCTATTACCTACTGATACAATTACCTGTTCTTTGTAGATCAAAAATTGTGAAATTTACACATAATTAAAATACATTTAATTATCTGCTCAACCAGAAATGAAATCATATCCCCCTAATATACTACATCCAGCTCCAAGCCCAAGATATTTAAATGACATCCATTCCTCTCCTAGTTCCAGTTATAATTTTATCTTGATATTCTCTCATATATGAACTAAATTATAAAGTTAGCCGCCATCAATACAATCTGTGTATCTAATATCTAACTATATAGTAATGGGGTAAGGGAACAGCAAAAAAGAGAACATTAATCAAAATATACAGATAAGCCTGGGCAACACAGTGAGACCCCATCTCTTAAAAAAAAAAATTAGCCATGCATGATGGTGTGCTTCTAGTCCCAGATACTTGGGAGGCTGAGGCAGGAGGATCACTTGATCCCAGGAGGTTCTGGTTCTAAACCAGCAAAGCTCAGAATCCCAGGGGATAGAAACAAAGACTTTGTGGATCACTAGGATAAAACTGAGAAGCACCATCCCCTAATGCACTTTGTTACTCAGTTCTTTGATGACATCACTGAGCTGACATACCTGCCTTCTTTTCACCATAAAGTGAGTTTCATGATCAGAAGCAATGTCTATGGGATAGCATAACAATGTAAAAACCATTTAGTAAGTTCATGAAAGGTGGTGGTGGTAAAAGTTTGGAGAACATACAAAACAAATACAATTCCAAGGTGTGTCCCTTCCAGGAAGGACAAATTGCTACCTGCTCTGTGATAGAAGAGGATCAGATGTAATCAGCCTGCCATCAGACTTGGGCTGGTCTCTTCTGGGTGTGGGCTTGTCTGGTTGGTCACTGCTGCTGACAAGCAGGCTGTCAGTATAGCTGGGTTGTCATGTCAGCTGTGGTGAGGGGGAGGTCCACATTGTGGAGGCCACATCCCCGCAATCTTGGCCAATTTGACCATGAATCTTAAGCACTGGGGTGGCTGGAAAAGATGGCTGATTGACATCCATACAGAGGTCATCTTTTGACCACTTGATTAGTGTAAGCACTGAAGGCTTTTAACTGAGCATTCACACAGGACACAAATATTCTGATTCTTTGGGCCCATTCCAAGAACTCTGGGCATACTTTTCCTCCAGACCTCATACCCAGTTGTGTTCTTTCCAAATTTCTGGTCATCTGGTTACGTTATCAGCCACTATCTGTGAATCAGCCTAGATTTTTATATCAGACATTTCTACCTCCTGACAGAATGGAGGAGATATGTTACTTAACAATACTGTTCCCTTGGAAGATTTCCTATCTCCACTATTTGTAAGGGCTACTCCCTCAATGTAGCAGTAATGCTTTCATTCTGATGGGTAAGTCACAGTGGAATTCTGGGTCTTCAGGAATTAGTGTTAGTGCATCCCCTGTGACCTGCACGTATATATCCAGATGGCCTGAAGTAACTGAAGTAACAAAAGAAGGGAAAATGGCCTATTCCTGCCTTAACTGATGACATTCTGCCATTGTGATTTGTTCCTGCCCAACCTTAACTGAGCAATTAACCTTGTGAAATTCCTTCTCCTGGCTCAAAACCTCCCCCACTGAGCACCTTGTCACCCGCGCCCCTGCCGGTAAGAGAAAACCCCCTTTGATTGTAATTTTCCACTACCCACCCAAATCCTATAAAATGGCCCCACACCTATCTCCCTTCACTGACTCCTTTTTCAGACTCAGCCCACCTGCACCCAGGTGAAATAAACAGCTTTGTTGCTCACACGAAGCCTGTTTGGTGGACTCTCTTCACACGGACGCGTGTGACATTTGGTGCCGAAACCCGGGACAGGAGAACTCCTTTGGGAGACCAGTCCCCTGTCCTTGCCCTCACTCTGTGAGGACATCCACCTATGACCTTGGGTCCTCAGACCAACCAGCCCAAGGAACATCTCACCAGTTTCAAATCAGGTAAGCAGTCTTTTCACTCTCTTCTCCAGCCTCTCTTGCTACCCTTCATCTCCCTGTCCTTCCAATTCCACTTCTTTTTCCTCTCTAGTAGAGACAAAGGAGACACATTTTATCCATGGACCCAAAACTCCAGCGCCGATCACAGACTCGGGAAGACAGTCTTCCCTTGGTATTTAATCACTGTGGGGATGCCTGCCTGATTATTCACCCATGCTCCACTGGTGTCTGATCACCGTGGGGACGCCTGCCTTGGTCACTCACCCACATTCCCTTGGTGGCAAATCAACTGCAGGGACGCCTGCTTTGGCTCCTCACCTACCCCCTTCTCCATGTCTCTACCTTTCTCTAAACTTACCTCCTTCACTATGGGCAACCTTCCACCCTCCATTCCCCCTTCTTCACCCTTAACCTGTGTTCTTAAAAACCTAAAACCTCTTCAACTCACACCTGACCTAAAACCTAAATGCTTATTTTCTTCTGCAACACCACTTAGCCCCAATACAAACTTGATAATGGCTCTAAATGGCCAGAAAATGGTACTTTCAATTTCTCCATCCTACAAGATCTAGATAATTTTTATCAAAAAATGGGCAAATGGTCTGAGATGCCTGATGTCCAGGCATTCTTTTCCACGTTGGTCCCTCCCTAGTCTCTGCTCCCAATGTGACTCATCCCAAATCTTTCTTCTTTCTCTCCTGTCTGTTCCTTCAGTCTCCACCCCAAGCTCTGAGTCCTCTGAATCCTCCTTTTCTACAGACCCATCTGACCTTCTCCCCAGGCTGCTCCGAGCCAGGCTGAGCCACATCCCAATTCTTCCTCAGCCTTTGCTCCCCGACCCTATAATCCTTTTATCACCTCCCTTCCTCACACCCAGTCCGGCTTACAGTTTCGTTCCGTGATTAGCCCTCCCCCACCTGCCCAACAATTTCCTCTTAAAGAGGTGGCTGGAGCTGAAGGCATAGTCAAGGTTAATGCTCCTTTTTCTTTATCCGACCTCTCCCAAATCAGCATTTAGGCTCTTTTTCATCAAATATAAAAACCCAGCCCAGTTCATGGCCCTTTTGGCAACAACCCTTAGATGCTTTACAGCTGTAGACCCTGAAGGGTCAGAAGGCCGTCTTATTCTCAATATGCATTTTATTACCCAGTCTGCTCCCAACATTAAATAAAGCTCCAAAAATTAAATTCCGGCCCTCAAACCCCACAACAGGACTTAATTAACCTCACCTTCAAGGTGTACAATAATAGACTAAAGGCAGCCAAGTAGCAACGTATTTGAGATGCAATTCCTTGCCTCCACTGTGAGAGAAACCCCAGCCACGTCTCCAGCACACAAGAACTTAAAAATGCCTGAACCGCAGTGGCCAGGCATTCCTCCAGGACCACCTCCCCCAGGATCTTGCTTCAAGTGCTGGAAATCTGGCCATTGGGACAAGGAATGCCTGCAGCCTGGGATTCCTCCTAAGCCATGTCCCATCTGTGCAGGACACCGCTGGAAATCAGATTGTACAACTCACCCAGCAGCCACTCCCAGAGTCCCTGGAACTCTGGTCCAAGGCTCTCTGACTCCTTCCCAGATCTTCTCGACTGAAGACTGATGCTGCCCGATTGCCTCAGAAGCCCCCCGGACAATCACGGACACCGAACTTCAGGTAACTCTCACAGTGGTGGGTAAGTCTATCCCCTGTTTAATCAAAACAGGGGCTACCCACTCCACATGACCTTCTTTTCAAGGGCCTGTGTCTCTTGTCCCCATAACTATTGTGGGTATTGATGGCCAAGCTTCAAAACCCCTTAAAACTCCCCCACTCTGGTGCCAACTTGGACAACATTCTTTTATGCACTCTTTTTTAGTTATCCCCACCTGCCCAGTTCCCTTATTAGGCCGAGACATTTTAATCAAATTATCTGCTTCCCTGACTATTCCTGGGCTACAGCCACATCTCATTGCTGCCCTTCTTCCCAACCCAAAGCCTCCTTCATACTTCCTCTCGTATCCCCCGACCTTAACCCACAAGTATGGGACACCTCTACTCCCTCCCTGGCAACCGATCACATTCCCATTACTATCCCATTAAAACCTAATCACCCTTACCCTGCTCAATGCCAGTATCCCATCCCACAACAGACTTTAAAGGGATTGAAGCCTGTTATCACTCGCCTGCTACAGCATGGGCTTCTAAAACCTATAAACTCTCCATACAATTCCCCCATTTTACCTGTCCAAAAACCAGACAAGTCTTACAGGTTAGTTCAGGATCTGTACCTTATCAACAAATTGTTTTGCCTATCCACCCTGTGGTGCCCAACTCATACACTCTTTTGTCCTCGATGCCTTCCTCCACAACTCACTATTCCGTCCTTGATCTTAAAGATGCTTTTTTCACTATTCCCTTGCACCCCTCATCCCAGCCTCTCTTTGCTTTTACCTGGACTATCCCTGACACCCATGAGTCCCAGCAGCTTACCTGGGCTGTACTGCCACAAGGCTTCAGGGACAGCCCTCATTACTTCAGCCAAGCTTTCTCTCATGATTTACTTTCTTTCCACCCCTCTGCTTCTCACCTTATTCAATATATTGATGACCTACTTTGTAGCCCCTCCTTTAAATCTTCTCAACAAGACACCCTCCTGCTCCTTCAACATTTATTCTCCAAAGGATATTGGGTATCCCCCTCCAAAGCTCAAATTTCTTCTCCATCTGTTACCTATCTCGGCATAATTCTTCATGAAAACACACGTGCTCTCCCTGCCGATTGTGTCCAGCTGATCTCTCAAACCCCAACCCCTTCTATAAAAACAGCAACTCCTTTTGGGAGTGCGGTCTACAAGGACACTTGAAAAAAGATTGTCCAAGTAGAAATAAGCTGCCCCCTTGTCCATGCCCCTTATGTCAAGGGAATCACTGGAAGGCCCACTGCCCCCAGGGGATGAAGGTCCTCTGAGTCAGAAGCCACTAACCAGATGATCCAGCAGCAGGACTGAGAGTGACCCGGGCAAGCGCCAGCCCATGCCATCACCCTCACAGAGCCCCGGGTATGCTTGACCATTGAGGGCCAGAAGGTTAACTGTCTCCTGGACACTGGCATGGCCATCTCAGTCTTACTCTCCTGTCCCGGTCAACTGTCCTCCAGATCTGTCATTATCTGAGGGGTCCTAGGACAGCCAGTCACTAGATATTTCTCCCAGCCACTAAGTTGTGACTGGGGAGCTTTACTCTTTTCACATGCTTTTCTAATTATGCCTGAAAGCCCCACTCCCTTGTTAGGGACAGACATTCTAGCAAAAGCAGGGGCCATTATACACCTGAATATAGGAGAAGAAGCACCTGTTTGCTGTCCCCTGCTTGAGGAAGGAATTAATCCTGAAGTCTGCGCAACAGAAGGACAATATGGATGAGCAAAAAATGCCCATCCTGTTCAAGTTAAACTAAAGGATTCTGCCTCCTTTCCCTACCAAAGGCAGTACCCCCTCAGACCCAAGGCCCAACAAGGACTCCAGAAGATTGTTAAGGACCCAAAAGCCCAAGGCCTAGTAAAACCATGCAACAGCCCCTGCAATACTCCAATTTTAGGAGTACAGAAGCCCAATGGACAGTGGAGGTTAGTGCAAGATCTCAGGATTATCAATGAGGCTGCTGTCCTTCTATACCCAGCTGTACCTAACCCTTATAATCTGCTTTCCCAAATCCCAGAGGAAGCAGAGTGGTTTACAGTTCTGGACCTTACGGATGCCTCTCTCTGCATCCCTGTACATCCTGTCTCTCAATTCTTGTTTGCTTTTGAAGATCCTTCAAACACAACATCTCAACTCACCTGGACTACTTTACCCCAAGGGTTCAGGGATAGCCCCCATCTATTTGGCCAGGCATTAGCCCAAGACTTGAGCCAGTTCTCATACCTGGACACTCTTGTCCTTCGGTACGTGGATGATTTACTTTTAGCTGCCCATTCAGAAACCTTGTGCCATCAAGCCACCCAAGCGCTCTTAAATTTAAATTTCCTTACTACCTGTGGTGACAAGGTTTCCAAACCAAAGGCTCAGCTCTGCTCACAGCAGGTTAAATACTTAGGGCTAAAATTATCCAAAGGCACCAGGGCCCTCAGTGAGGAACGTATCCAGCCTATACTGGCTTATCCTCATCCCAAAACCCTAAAGCAACTAAGAGGGTTCCTTGGCATAACAGGTTTCTGCCGAACATGGATTGACGGGTACGGCGAAATAGCCAGACCATTATATACACTAATTAAGGAAACTCAGAGAGCCAATATCCTTTTAGTAAGATGGACACCTGAAGCAGAAGCGGCTTTCCAGGCCCTAACCCAAGCCCCCGTGTTAAGCTTCCCAACGGGGCAAGACTTTTCTTTATATGTCACAGAAAAAACAGCACTAGCTCTAGGAGTCCTTACACAGGTCCGAGGGACCAGCCTGCAACCCGTGGCATCCCTGAGTAAGGAAATTGATGTAGTGGCAAAGGGTCAGCCTCATTGTTTACGGGTAGTGGCAGCAATAGCCGTCTTAGTATCTATAGCAGTTAAAATAATACAGGGAAGAGATCTTACTGTGTGGACATCTCATGATGTGAATGGCATACTCACTGCTAAAGGAGACTTGTGGCTGTTAGACAACTGTTTACTTAAATATTAGGCTCTATTACTTGAAGGGCCAGTGCTGCGACTGCGCACTTGTGCAACTCTGAACCCAGTCACATTTCCTCCAGACAATGAAGAAAAGATAGAACATAACTGCCAACAAGTAATTGCTCAAACCTATGCTGCTCGAGGGGACCTTTTAGAGGTTCCCTTGACTGATCCCAACCTCAACTTCTATACTGATGGAAGTTCCTTTGTAGAAAAAGGACTTCAAAAAGTAGGGTATGCACTGGTCAGTGATAATGGAATACTTGAAAGTAATCCCCTCACTCCAGGAACTAGTGCTCAGCTGGCAGAACTAATAGCCCTGACTCAGGCACTAGAATTAGGAGAAGGAAGAAGGGTAAATATATATACAGACTCTAAATACGCTTATCTAGTCCTCCATGCCCATGCAGCAATACGGAGAGAAAGGGAAATCCTAACTTCCGAGGGAACACCTATCAAACATCAGGAAGCCATTAGGAAATTATTGTTGGCTGTATGAAAACCTAAAGAGGTGGCAGTCTTACACTGCCAGGGTCATCAGAAAGGAAAGGAAAGGGAAATAGAAGAGAAGTGCCAAGCAGGTATTAAAGCCAAAAGAGCCGCAAGGCAGGATGCTCTAATAGAAATGCTTATAGAAGGACCCCTAGTATAGGGTAATCCCCTCCGGGAAACCAAGCCCCAGTACTCACCAGGAGAAATAGAATGGGGAACCTCACGAGGACATAGTTTTCTCCCCTCAGGATGGCTAGCCACCGAAGAAGGGAAAATACTTTTGCCTGCAGCTAACCAATGGAAATTACTTAAAACCCTTCAACAAACCTTTTACTTAGGCATTGATAGCACCCATCAGATGGCCAAATCATTTTTTACTGGACCAGGCCTTTTCAAAACTATCAAGCAGATAGTCAGGGCCTGTGAAGTGTGCCAAAGAAATAATCCCCTGCCTTATTGCCAAGCTCCTTCAGGAGAACAAAGAACAGGCCATTACCCAGGAGAAGACTGGCAACTAGATTTTACCCACATGCCCAAATCTCAGGGATTTCAGTATCTACTAGTCTGGGTAGATACTTTGGTTGGGAAGAGGCCTTCCCCTGTAGGACAGAAAAGGCCCAAGAGATAATAAAGGCACTAGTTCATGAAATGATTCCCAGATTCGGACTTCCCCGTAGCTTAGAGTGACAATAGCCCTGGTTTCAAGGCTACAGCAACCCAGGGAGTATCCTAGGCATTAGGTATACAATATCACTTACACTGTGCCTGGAGGCCACAGTCCTCAGGGAAGGTCGAGAAAATGAACGAAACACTCAAACGACATCTAAAAAAGCTAACCCAGGAAACTCACCTCGCATGGCCTTCTTTGTTGCCTATAGTCTTACTAAGAATCCGAAACTCTCCCCAAAAAGCAGGACTTAGCCCATACGACATGCTGTATGGACGGCCCTTCCTAACCAATGACCTTGTGCTTGACCGAGAAACGGCCAACTTAGTTGCAGACATCACTTCCTTAGCCAAATATCAACAAGTTCTTAAAACATTACAAGGAGCCTGTCCCCGAGAAGAGGGAAAGGAACTATTCCACCCTGGTGGTATGGTATTAGTCAAGTCCCTTCTCTCTAATTCCCCATCCCTAGATACATCCTGAGAAGGATCCTACCCAGTCATTTTATCTACCCCAACTGCGGTTAAAGTGGCTGGAGTTGAGTCATGGATACATCACACTCGAGTCAAACCCTGGATACAGCCAAAGGAACCTGAAAATCCAGGAGACAACGCTAGCTATTCCTGTGAACCTCTAGAGGATTTGCGCCTGCTCTTCAAACGACAACCAGGAGGAAAGTAACTAAAATCGTAAATCCCCATGGCCCTCCCTTATCATATTTTTCTCTTTACTGTTCTCTTACCCCCTTTCACTCTCACTGCACCCCCTCCATGCCGCTGTACGACCAGTAGCTCCCCTTACCAAGAGTTTCTATGGAGAATGCAGCGTCCTGGAAATATTGATGCCCCATCGTATAGGAGTTTATCTAAGGGAACCCCCACCTTCACTGCCCACACCCATACGCCCCGCAACTGTTATAATGCTGCCACTCTTTGCATGCAATCAAATACTCACTATTGGACAGGAAAAATGATTAATCCTAGTTGTCCTGGAGGACTTGGAGCCACTGTCTGTTGGACTTACTTCACCCATACCAGTATGTCTGATGGGAGTGGAGTTCAAGATCAGGCAAGAGAGAAACACATAGAAGAAGTAATCTCCCAACTGACCCGGGTACATAGCACCTCTAGCCCCTACAGAGGACTAGATCTCTCAAAACTACATGAAACCCTCCGTATCCATACTCGCCTGGTAAGCCTATTTAATACCACCCTCCTTGGGCTCCATGAGGTCTCGGCCCAAAACCCTACCAACTGTTGGATGTGCCTCCCCCTGCACTTCAGGCCATACATTTCAATCCCTGTACCTGAACAATGGAACAACTTCAGCACAGAAATAAACACCACTTCTGTTTTAGTAGGACCTCTTGTTTCCAACCTGGAAATAACCCGTACCTCAAACCTCACCTGTGTAAATTTTAGCAGTACTATAGACACAACCAACTCCCAATGCATCAGGTGGGTAACTCCTCCCACACGAATAGTCTGCCTACCCTCAGGAATATTTTTTGTCTGTGGTACCTCAGCCTATCATTGTTTGAATGGCTCTTCAGAATCTATGTGCTTCCTCTCATTCTTAGTGCCACCTATGACCATCTACACTGAACAAGATTTATACAATTATGTCATACATAAGCCCCGCAACAAGAGAGTACCCATTCTTCCTTTTGTTATCAGAGCAGGAGTGCTAGGTGGACTAGGTACTGGCATTGGCGGTATCACAACCTCTACTCAGTTCTACTACAAACTATCTCAAGAACTAAATGGTGACATGGAACGGGTTGCCGACTCCCTGGTCACCTTGCAAGATCAACTTAACTCCCTAGCAGCAGTAGTCCTTCAAAATCAAAGAGCTTTAGACTTGCTAACTGCCGAAAGAGGGGGAACCTGTTTATTTTTAGGGGAAGAATGCTGTTATTATGTTAATCAATCTGGAATCATCAGTGAGAAAGTTAAAGAAATTAAAGATCGAATACAACGTAGAGCAAAGGAGCTTCAAAACACTGGACCCTGGGGCCTCCTCAATCAATGGATACCCCGGATTCTCCCCTTCTTAGGACTTCTAGCAGCTATAATATTGCTACTCCTCTTTGGACCCTGTATCTTTAACCTCCTTGTTAAGTTTGTCTCTTCTAGAATCAAAGCTATAAAACTACAAATGGAGCCCCAGATGCAGTCCATGACTTAAGTTCTACCGCAGACCCCTGGACCGGCCTGCTAGCCCATGATCCGATGTTAATGACATCAAAGGCACCCCTCCTGAGGAAATCTCAACTGCACAACCCCTACTACGCCCCAATTCAGCAGGAAGCAGTTAGAGAGTCTTGGGGAGTCATCGACCAACCTCCCCAATAGCACTTAGGTTTTCCTGTTGAGAGGGGGCACTAAGAGACAGGACTAGCTGGATTTCCTAGGACAACTAAGAATCCCTAAGGCTAGCTGGGAAGGTGACCACATCCATCTTTAAACAGGGGGCTTGCAACTTAGCTCACACCCGACCAATCAGAGAGCTCACTAAAATGCTGATTAGGCAAAAACAGAAGGTAAAGAAATAGCCAATCATCTATTGCCTGAGAGCACAGCGGGAGGGACAAGGATCGGGATATAAACCCAGGCATTCCAGCTGGCAACAGCAACCCCCTTTGGGTCCCCTCCCTTTGTATGGGAGCTCTGTTTTCACTCTATTTCACTCTATTAAATCTTGCAACTGGCCGGGCGCGGTGGCTCAAGCCTGTAATCCCAGCACTTTGGGAGGCCGAGACGGGCGGATCACGAGGTCAGGAGATCGAGACCATCCTGGCTAACACGGTGAAACCCCGTCTCTACTACAAAATACAAAAAAACTAGCCGGACGAGGTGGCGGGCGCCTGTAGTCCCAGCTACTCGGGAGGCTGAGGCAGGAGAATGGCGTGAACCCGGGAGGCGGAGCTTGCAGTGAGCTGAGATCCGGCCACTGCACTCCAGCCTGGGCGACAGAGCGAGACTCCGTCTCAAAAAAAAAAAATAAAATAAAATAAAATAAAATAAAATAAAATAAATCTTGCAACTACACTCTTCTGGTCCGTGTTTGTTACAGCTCAAGCTGAGCTTTCCCTCGCTGTCCACCACTGCTGTTTGCTGCCATCGCAGACCCGCTGACTCCCATCCCTCTCCCTTACAATAGTAAGCAATTAATTTGGATTTGCGAATTGATCAGTCCAAAGTGGCTGCCAGTTTGAAAATCTCAGGAAGGTACCATATATACTAAGAGAAGCCCTGACATGAGGGCCTAAGCCAAAAGTTGGCCCACATCCTTCCTCTTCCAAATTTAGGATGGGCACTGTAAGGATAAATATGAATTCAAAAGAATAAGTTTAATTCCACCTGTTGAAAATAAGGCAAGAAATTTTTCTCCCCTCCCTTTATGTCAGGTTATTACTTGAGAAAACTTGTATGTACTTTCTCAGTCTCTTTGAGATACATATATATATATATATATACACACACACACATTTTTTTTTTTTTGAGACGGAGTTTTGCTCTTGTTTCCCAGGCTGGAATGCAGTGGTGCAATCTCGGCTCACTGCAACCTCCGCCTCCAGATTCAAGTGATTCTCCTGCCTCAGACACCCCAGTAGCTAGGATTACAGATGCGTGTCACCATGCCTGGCTAATTTTTTGTATTTTTAGTAGAGATGGGTTTCACCATGTTGGCCAGGCTGGTTTCCAACTCCTGACCTCAGGTGATCCACCCGCCTCGGCCTCCCAAAGTGCTGGGATTACAGGTGTGAGCCACTATGCCCAGCCTGAAATATATATATACTGAATCAGTCTTTTGTCAGCTTTATGACCAAGGAATGTCTTTCTCAAGGACCTGGGAAATGTAAACATCACCAGCTAGCATACCTATCTTCCAGTTTCTGTGGGAGGGTAACAACCTAATCTTAACGAGTGACTTGCACCAAGCTGTAAAAGTAACTCCTGTTTCCACACTCCCCCAGCCCCAAAAAGTTGATTATCTTAGATAACACAAGTGGTCACATCAATTGTCAGGTAAAGTTAGGATGAACTGTGTGACCAATGGTGCTGTCAAATTCTCTTAGTTGAAGACTATTTATCTTGAAAACATACATGTAATGAATGGGCTGTACCTGCTTGGCTGTATAAAAGGGTGAAATTTCCTTCTGTCTTTACGATCTCTTAGCAAAGTGCCTGTGATGTGCATCACATTCTCATTTAATGTTTATTCATTAATAAAGCTTTTCTTTCTCTACTGCCTTCATGGAGAGGATTTCTGGGTTGAGAGAAGACTTTGTTTTTTAAAGTACATTTCCCCAGTAGCACCTTCACCCTTTATTCTAAAATGGCTGGCTGGGTGTGGTGGCTCACGCCTGTAATCACAACCCTTTGGGAGGCCAAGGTGGGAGGACTGTTTGAGGCCAGGAGTTTGAGAACTAGCCTAAGCAATATAGTGAGACCCCGTCTCTTAAAAAAAAAAAAAAAAAAAAAAAAAAAAGCTGGGCATGGTAGTGCACAACTGTGGTCCCAGCTACTCAGGAGGCTGAGGCAGGAGAATCGCTTGAACCTGGGCAGCTAAGGTTGCAGTGAGCAGTGATCACACCACTGCACTCCAGCCTAGGTGACAGTGCAAGAACCTGTTTAAAAAAATAATAAAATTGCTGTCTTTTTCACTCACACCTTCACTATTCATGGGAAGAAGTGTGTAAGGTATAACAGTCTTTTTGTAATAAACCTCCCCACTTCCACTTAGCTTCTGCTAACCAGGTGGCACATCGAAGTTAAGAGTAATTAGAAGTAGAGATGATGTTATGAGAAGTTGAGTTTAAGATTGTAGCTCTTCTTTTTTTTTTTTTTTTGAGACTGAGTCTCACTCTGTCGCCCAGGCTTGAGTATAATGGCGCGATCTTGGCTCACTGCAACCTCTGCTGTCCAGGTTCAAGCGATTCTCCTGCCTCAGTCTCCTGAGTAGCTGCGATTACAGGGACGTGCCACCATGCCAGGCTAATTTCTGTATTTTGAGTAGAGACGAGGTTTCACCACGTTGACCAGGCTGGTCCTGAACTTCAGTCCTCAGGTGATCTGCCCGCCTCTGCCTCCCAAAGTGCTGGGATGATAGGCGTGAGCCACTATGCCTGGTAGATTGTAGCTTTTTTGTTTATAATTGGGTAATTACTTCATGCCAGTCTGTCATGTGTAATAAATAACACAGGTTAGTGATTGGCTTTTTTTTTTTTTTTTTTTTTTTTTTTTTTGAGATGGAGTTTCCCTCTTGTCACATAGGTTAGAGTGCAATGGTGTGATCTTGGCTTACTGCAGCCTCCACCTCCCAAGTTCAAGTGATTCTCCTGCCTCAGTCTCCGGAGTAGCTGGGATTACAGGGGCCTGCCACCACACTCAGCTAATTTTTGTATTTTTAGCAGGGACGGGGTTTCACCATGTTGGTCAGGCTGGTCTTGAACTCCTGACCTCAGGTGATCCACCTGCCTCAGCGTCCCAAAGTGCTGGGATTACAGGCGTGAGCCACTGTACCCAGCCTCTTCTTCAACAGAAAAGAAAGAAAATGAAACTATGTAAGTTCAGCTATGTGCAGGGATGCTTTAGAAATAACATTTAGATTTTTAATTTGTATTAGATTCTTTGGACCTGGTACTGTATTTCTCACAGTAGCATTTACCCAATTTCTTTTGGATCTTACGTATGGCAGTTCAGCAGTGACATTTCCATGGTATTTTCTTAACTTCTTTAGGCCTCATATTTCCTATCTGTAGAATGAGATAGTTAGATTAGATGGTCTCTAAATCCATATGTCTACAAAGAATATGAATCTTTGAAAAATTGTTTTCTTCATCTGGATCACAAGCCACTATCAATCTATGAGAATCTGCACTGGAGTTGAAGAAACTAGCTTTATTCACGAAATCAAATTTCATTTGCCTAGAAATGTTCAGCTTACAATATCTGACATGAACTCTTTGGAAGCTCCTCTATTGCATTATTCTGATGCTTAGAGCATCAACATGCTGGGACACTTCCTTGCCTAACCCCTGTGCCCAGGGGCCCTGCCTGAGGACGCTGGCAGGATTCTCTAGCTTGCTCTGAAAAACAATGCCTTTGCTGTAGCCACTCTTCTGGTTGTCCTTTTATAGCCCGTCCCCATTTCAGTGATTCCCCTGCAAGCTGAAGCATGCAGCAATTAGAGCAGTTTTTCTATTCTTTTTCATTCCCAAGGCCCTTTCCTGGACTTTCATAATGCAAGACACAAGGACAGACAATTATTATTTCTAGGCTTCGGATATCTGTGCAGAGGACCAGAGTTGAGAAAGGGAGCCTTGACTGTGGTAGGCCTGAATGTGTTCTAATTTTGGACATGACCTCAGAGTGAGCACTGAGGCTGGCCCACAGGCCAGAGACCCACAAACAACATGGCTGCCCGTCTTGCCCACCTGCCTCACACAGTTTGTCCCATAAAAGCATTAAATTAGGAGACAGAAACCAATGGTGCAAAGTTTTGTTACTGCATTGCACATCTTCTGAGTTCTCAAATCCATATTCTCAATTATCTAATGGATACTCAAGTCCAGGAGATGCCTCACAGTCCTCACATTACAAAACAGAACAAACACCTCACATCACCTGCAAATCTCAACCTGGCCTTGTTTACTCACTGGGAGATTTTTAAATCTTAAGAATCAAGTAGGATCTTTGCTCATGTATTTTGTAAGATTTTTTCACCTACCACAAAGTTGTACTCACGTCTTCCTTAATTCATCCTTCTCTCTCAGTCTCTATTTACAACTGGTTATTAAATTCTGTTGACTTTATCTCCTATATATCTATTTTTTTAAGATTATGGTAAAATATGCGTAACAAAACTTACAATTTTAACCTTTTTTTTGAGACGAAGTCTCACTCTGCCACCCAGGCTGGAGTACAGTGGCGCAATCTCAACTCACTGCAACCTCTGCCTCCTGGGTTCAAGCAATTCCCAGGCCTCATCCTCCTGGCAGCTGGGACTACAGTCACCCACCACCACACTCAACTAATTTTTGTATTTTTACTAGAGATGGGGTTTTGCCATGTTGGCCAGGCTGGTCTTTTTAACTCCTGACCTCAACTGATCCACTTGCCTTGGCCTCCCAAAGAGCTGGGATTACAGGCGTGAGCCACCACACCCAGGCATTAACCTTTTTTTTGTTTTGTTTTTGAGACGGATTCTCATTCTGTTGCCCAGGCTGGAGCGCAGTGGCGCAATCTCAGCTCACTGCAAGCTCTGCCTCCCGGGTTCATACCATTCTCCTGCCTCAGCCTCCCGAGTAGCTGGGACTACAGGCACCCGCCACCACACCCAGCTATTTCTTTTTTTTTTTTTTTTTCGTATTTTTTAGTAGAGACAGGGTTTCACTGTGTTAGCCAGAATGGTCTCAATCTCCTGACCTCATGATCCGCCCGCCTTGACCTCCCAAAGTTCTGGGATTACAGGCGTGAGCCACTGCGTCAGGCCAGCATTAACCATTTTTAAGTGTACAATTTAGTGTCATTAAGTACATTCATCATGTTGACTACTCTCACTACCCATTTCCAGGATTTTTTCAAAATCACTCCAAACAGAAACTTTGTACCCACAACACCCCTCTTCCCCCAACCCTGGTAACCTCTAATGTTCTGTCGCTATGACATAATTTGCCTATTCTAGGTAACTAACTCATATAAGTGGAATTATATAATATTTGTCTTTTTAAGTTTGGCTTATTTCCCTTAGCATGTTTTCAAGGTTCACCCTTATAGAATGTATCAGAATTTCATTCCTTCTATGGCTGAATAATATCCCACTGCATGACCTCACCACGTTTTGATCATCCACTCGTCTGCTGATGGGTCCTTGTGTTGTTTCTATCCATCTCTGTCAGCTCGGGCTGCTGTGACAAAATACCGTAGCCTGAGTGGTTTAAACAACACACATTCATTTCTCACAGTTCTAGATGCTGAGAACCCAAAACCAAGGTGCTGGCAGATTTGAGTTCTGGTGAGGGCTCTCTTCCTAGCTGTGGCCACCTTCTGGCTATCTTCTTACATAGTGAGGAGAGAAAGGAAGGCTTTGGTCTGTTTTCCTCTTCCTAACAGGACACTAATTCCACTATGGGGGCTCCACCCTCATGACTTCATCGAAATCTGATTACCTCCCAAATGCCCTACTCCCCTAATACCATTGCCTTGGGGGCCAGGGATTTAACATATGAACTTGGGGCATGATGATCAGGCACACATTCAGCCTGTAACACCATTTAGATTACCATCTTTGGACCTAAATAAATATTTTAGAGTTGTATTTTTTTCTGATTATATAAGTAACGGATGCTAGTAATACAAACTTCAAAATTTTTAAAAGCATAAAGAATATTAAAATGACTATAATTCCAACTATGCTTGTTGTTGATTTTGTTTGTTCCAGTTTTCTTTATATGCATATATATGCATGTGTATATGTGAGTGTGTGTTTTTTTTTTTTACAAAATCAGAATCATTATGTAGTTGTGTCCAGGTTTTACACTAACCATTTTATAAACTTTTTTTGCATTATTAAAAATTATTTGTAAATGGTATTTCTGATGACTGCACAAAATTCTATTAGAAAAATATCAAAATTCATTTTCCTATTGTTGGACCTTTAGATTGTTTCTGGTTTCTCACAACTTTAAATACTGGAAACAACCTCTTTTTATACTCATTTTTTGGTCCACATTTTAAATCCTCTTAGCATGGATTCTTAGAAATGAAATTACTAGATCAAGAAGTATAAATACTTTTAAGAGTATTGATACATATTGCTATTCTAAAAAGCTATGTTAATTTACATGGGCCACCAGCTGGATAGGGTGTCCCTCTGTGCCTCTGAGATGGTCCCTAGTGGTCTCTGCCCTTGGAGTTCACACCCTTGTGTGGTCCTGTGCTCACACCGTACCAGGGTTGGTCTGTGTGACCCAACAGCATATGGCAGAAGTGCTGGTATGTCCCTTCTTTCAGATTAGGTTATAGAAAAGATGGTGGCTTCCATCTTGGGTACAACTGCACTTGCATCTTTCTGTCACGAATCATTTGCTGTGAGCAAACCTGTGGAGGCCCATAGAGAGGAATGGAAGCTTCCTGCCAACAGCCACATGTGGGAGCTGTTTCTCCTGTTTTACTCTTTGCTTTTCAATTTAGTATATAAACTTTAAAATAATGCAATCTATCTTTCTCTATGTGATCTCTTTCATTACTTTTTAAACAATGTATAAAAATACTACATATTCATAGCAAAAAGAAGATAGCCAAATAATTCTAAATAGTTTATAATGAGAAACAGTAGTTCCTTGCCTTTTCTTTCAGAGTCTCAGCAACTGTTATCAGCCAGAATTTGATTAGAGAAACAGAACCAGTTAGGAGCGATACAGAATAAGGAATCTGTAAAGGCAACTTTACCTTATACAATTGTGGGAGCTTGCTGAACGTTCTGTGCAAAGCTGTTGCTTCTGTGTTTGGTGTCGGGGCCTTAAGTCAGCAGGGCAGGCAGTCTGGAAGGGAAGACAGATTTCAAGTGGAGGACAGGAAAGAAAAACTTGAAGCTACATTAGTCTCTTACCCTCACCAAACCTCCAATTCAGATGACACAGGCACTAGGCAGAAGACGCTGGTGACCTTTACCACACAGCTAAGCATGCGCCTGGCCCAGGAGTGGCTGAAGCTGAAGGAAGTCACTCCCGAGTTCTTTCCTAGAATCATGATGTGAATATAGGAAAATAACGAAATCACTGACTTTATTTCCTCAGCTGGCCATTCATCTCCCTTTCAAGGGTTTAAAAACTACTATTTATAAAATATTCCAGATATGTATAGACTAAAAGCCAGTGGTTGTTTACCACCAGTTGGGCAGTATGCAAACAAACGTGTGTGTGTGTGTGTGTGCTTATTGTAAAAAATTTGGAAAATACTGCATGTTAGAGAAAATTTGGAAAATACTGCAAAGTATAAAGCTGAAAAGAGTAGCTGCAGAAAACCTTGTTGACATGTTAAAATTCTGGAGGCATTTCTGTCTTTGTTTTGTTTTGTTTTGAGACAAGGTCTCACTTCTATCACCCAAGCTGGAGTGGTGGCATGATCATGGGTCACTGCAGCTCAAGTGATCCTCCACCTCAGTCTCCTGAAGTGCTGGGATTACAGGCATGAGCTACTGTGCCTGGGCTCCTTCCATCTTTTATAAAAGATGCTTCTTGTTTGCAGAATTGCTGTCATACAGTTCTACATTCTGTCTTTTTTTCTCTTATTTATTGTGAACCTTTCTGTTATTACTAGCAATCTTCCTCGTGGGTCACCATTAAGATGTGTTTAAATAAATTACCATGCATTTGTGCATCTGACCCAATAATTAATGGCCCACCTCTTGTGGGTCATTTGGGTTCCTTCTCCTTGGCACAGACCTTCTCCTGGCTTATGTTTCTTGGGTGTAGGAGGTACACCCTCCTACCAAAGGTATGGCTCACACACTTGGTATGAAGTAAACAGCACAGTTCTTCAAACATGTCCAGGGCAGCCAGACAAAATCCACAAAAATGCCTCTCCCTTTTCTGGGCATGACAGAAACTTCATTCTAAGCTTGTGCATTGTTTATATGTAGACACAACACACATGCATGTGTATAAAGCAAATAAATACATTTCCCTCTATTGTTCATTTGATTTCACCTACTTATGACTGAAATGGAAAACTTACTAGGCCTGGAAAAGTCTTTCACAGCCGGGAACTGGAATGGTTTGGGATAATTTCTTTCAAATGCTCATGTTAAGCTTTATTTGTCTTAAGAGAACTATTTAAAACTCATCTTAAAAACAATCTAATACTAACCCAGAATATAACAATCTAAGTTTTACTTGACTATTCACAATTTAAAAGTTTCAGCCAAAGTTAATATGAATTAATAACTAAAATACCAACAAGCATTTTAGTTAACAGTATCTAATTCAGACCCTACACTCAGCATCTCCCATAAGCAAGAACCTGGGTTAGGTTATGTGGAAGTTAGAGATGAGTAAATAAAACACAGCATCCCTGCCCTACAAGGAACAAAGGGATAGGAATGATGATGGAAGTAGAAACTTAAATGTGATGACAATAGGATAGAGATTGATTTCAAAAAGCCATGGGAATCTGACAAGGTCTCAAAGAAAGAATCTGAAGGCATTAAGAAAGGTCTTTGGAAGGTAGAATTGGACAGAACAGTATGAACAAGGGCTCAGAGCCAGAAAAATTAGGCGGGTATACGGGGGAAACATTTTAGTGGTAATGAGGAGACAGGGCTGGGAACACAGACCAGGGCCATATCAGGTTTGGCCTCAGCAGAGAAATGTAAGCAATGGGAACCATCGCACTGGGTGAAATTCCATATTTATTTTAAAAGATGGTACACAACCATCTACCAATTTATAAACAGATGGTCAATTTATAGATTTTTAAAAGTCTACATTTTAATATTTTACATTGTGTTCATTTTATTAGCCATTTCTGGATTTTCCCAAAATCTATTACTTATTAATGATTAATCTATCTACTCCAAATCCTTTTTTTTTTTTAGATGGATTCATGCCCTGTCACCCAGGCTGGAGTGCAGTGGCACGATCTCAGCTCACTGCAGCCTCTGCCTCCCGAGTTCCAGTGATTCTCCTGCCTCAGTCTCCCGAGTAGACTAGCTGGGATTATAGGTGCACGCCACCATGCCTGGCTAATTTTTGTATTCTTAGTAGAGACAGGGTTTCACCATGTTGACCAGGCTGGTCTCAAGCTCCTGACCTCAGGCGATCCTCCTGCCTCGGCCTTCCAAAGTGCTGGGATTACAAGCGTGAGCCACTGCACCTGGTCTCTACTCCAAATTCTAAGTACTATACTGTTTTGGTTTTAAATACCATTTTTGGTTAAATAGCCCCATTTAAATTGTTTAAATGAAATAAATACATCCAAAGTAAATACATTGTGAAAAATACATTTTAATCCAAAATTTTTGAATATTAGCACTTAGAAAGTCATTTACAATCAATTTTACTATAACCTTTGTGAATAAAGAGATCATTATGTATGTGTAGCTACCTACAGTTGTTTCTTTCCAACTCACAAACCATAACTATGTGGGAAAAGGGTAAGAGTTAAAGCCACTGCAGTTCAAAATCATTACAATCAACTTAGATTCTGCAAATTTTCCCAGGGTTGAAAAATGCTGGTTAAATCAGGACAGAAGTGGAGGCAAGTAAGTGCACCTACTCCTCCATTTTACATGTTGCTCCCTTACTTAACTGGCAAAGACCTGCACCTGAATTCTAGACAATTTCATATACAACAGGCTTCTTATTACGGGTCCACAGCAGATGGTTTAGGGTAGACGTTTTAAAGATATCAATGCTAATGGCCTACCAGTGACTTTCATGACTTCCCAATCTTCATTTTAATGGTAGTCAAGAAACTATCAAGCGGGATGCCTGATCTCAACATGTTTCCTCTGTGGCTTTGGTGAAGCTGACTATCTGCAGTATAAAATCTTATGGTTTGATTGGAAGTCTGGTTTTTGACTAGAAACAGTAAAGAGCAGCTTTATTAAGATCAATGGAATGGTTCTGACTGCCTGTTTGCTACAGAAGGATTAAATGAAAGTTTTTCTTTCTTTTTTTTTTTTTGGAGACAGAGTCTTGCGCTATCACACAGGCTGGAGTGCAGTGGCGCAATCTTGGCTTACCGCAACCTCCACCTCCCGAGTTCAAGCAATTCTCCTGCCTCAGCCTCCCAAGTAGATGGGATTACAGGCCTGCACCATAACACTCAACTAATTTTTCTATTTTTAGTAGACACAGGGTTTCATCATGTTGGCCGGGTTGGTCCTGAACTCCTGACCTCAAGTGATCCATCCACTCAGGCCTCCCAAAGTGCTGGGATTACAGGTGTGAGCCACTGCGCCTGGCCTAGATGAAAGTTTTTAAAAGCCTGGGCTAGTAAAATCATCCACCAATCACTTTTCTTATGGTTAAAGCAGGCAAAAAGCTGTCACAGCATTTTTGAGATGAGAACATAAGGCTTGTGTGGCTTTATGATAGATACTGTTAGTCATTTTATTTGATTAAGCCCTTGGTCAGTCATCTATACCTTAATTAATATTTTGTTCTTATAGAAAAATATAAAATGTCCATTTTATGAGTTTCTAGAAATAAATAATGGAGAAAAATAGATACTACCTGTTCCTAATGGTCTCTCTGGAAATTACAGCTTTTGCCTAGGAAGATACACATATAGAATATCATTTAAGTTCAAAACATATTTCATTACATTCTATCCCTTTTAATTTTTTGTTTTTTTGAGATGGAGTCTTGCTCTGTCACCCAGGCTGGAGTGCAGTGGCACAATCTCAGCTCATTGCAACCTCCACCTCCTGGGTTCAACCAAGTCTCCTGCCTCAGCCTCCTGAGTAGCTGGGACTACAGGTGTGCACCACCATGCCTGGCTAATTTTTATATTTTTAGTAGAGACAGGGTTTCACCATGCTGGCCAGGTTGGTCTTGAACTCCCAACCTCAGGCGATCCGTCTGCCTCAGCCTCCCAAAGTGCTGGGATTAAAGGCGTGAGCCACTGTGCCCAGCCATTTTATTTTTTTCCAAGACAGAGTCTCACTCTGTTGCCCAGGCTGGAGCACAGCAGCACAATCTTGGCTCATTGCAACCTCCGCCTCCTGGGTTTAGGTGATTCTCCTGCCTCAGCCTCCCAAAGATCTGGGATTACAGGCAAATGTCACCATACCTGGCTAATTTTTGTATTTTTAGTAGAGACGGGGTTTCGCCATGTTGGCCAGGCTGGTCTCGAACTCCTGACCTCAGGCAATCCACTTCCCGACCTCAGGTGATCTGCCTGCCTCAGCATCCCAAAGTGCTGGGATTACAGGCATAAGCCACTGTGCCTGGCCCTAACCCTTTTAATTTTCTAAGTAACCAGTAATAAATAATCTAATGATTACTAGGTAGTAGAAAAAAACTTTTGAGTCATTTTTCCAGCTAAGAATTTCATTTAAAGATACCTATGACATATCCTGTGGTACTAAGAAGATCAGAGAACTGGAAATCCAGTTTTTTTGTGATATTTTTAAGAGACAGAATCTCACTCCATTGCCCAGCCTGGAGAGCAGTGGTGCAATAGCTGGGACTACAGGCGTGAGCCACCACACCAGGCCTGGAAATCCAGTTTTAATTTGTGAACTACAAATGGTTGGCAACTGTTTCCTTAATTGTTATTGCAGGAGTAGGCCCAACATGAGTCCATATGTAGCCCTTCTCTGGTCTGGTGGGAACTGTGGGAAATGGTGATGACCGTGACTTGAAATACTCAGAAGGTGCATGACAAACAAATTCCAAGTATTCCATCTTCCTTGGAAGATCTTCCTCTGGCCCTGGAAGGCAGCCAAGGGAAAGGTTAAATACATTTTTGACCATATACATCATTTTCATAAGATGTTAAAATTTCTAGACACTGGGAGAGACCACTCTGGGAGCAACCTGGCATTAGCCCTTGAAACATGCAGTACTTTGAAATTATTCTTAATCATTTTTTCTTCTTTAATGGCTTAAAGAATACGGAATTCTCCCAAAAACAGTGATTGAACACTTGCATCATGTTTATTTTATACCCACACTGTTGTAAGTTTACACATATCAATACCTTCATTCCTCACAGCAACCTTCTGAGGTAGGCATTATTATTATTCCCATTTTACATATGAGGAAAGTGAGGCAAGAGAAACTAAGAAATTTGCCAAAGTCACATGGCTGGTAATGGCGGGCTATGAACCCAGACACTCTGGCTCCAGAACTGGTGTTCTGACCTCACGCCATGCTGCCTCGCTGTAGGACAAGGATGCATATCAGAATCTGGGGATTAGAAAGAGGAGGCAGTAGAGGAATCCCGAAGGTGATTCTGATACATCACTGCCTCTGCTGGGATCCTGACCCATAGATACGGTAAATAAAAGTTCTATGTACTTATAAGCAGAAGGCTAGAACTGTTTGGTAATGTATCAAACTTGACATGTAGGTGAGAATAACAGTGGTATATTATTTGTCCCTGGAGTTCTCTTCAAAAAAAATTTATGCTTGTCCTCAGGATGCAAAAGTAATGATGCATGCTCATTGCAGAAAGATTAAAAAGTCTGAAGTAACTTTAAAAATCTGAAAACTTTTAAAATTGTATTAATCAGTAAATTCTTGTGAGTCTATGTCAAAACTGTTTTGGCAGCTTTGAAATTAACAAAAGTACAGCAGCTGCCATTTCAACTACCAGCCTTTATATTATAAAGGCCTAAGATGACATGTGTAGCATGCAGAGGTATGCATACTGAGAACTTGCAAGTATGGGATAACTGGGATAGTTCTTTTCTAAATTATTTTTGAACAGGTTTGTATAAATAAGTAACCTAAATAACCAAGTTCCTGAGCAATAAATTCTTGTAGTACAGTTTAACCCTGGGTCACTCTAAAAAAAACCTTATCCGTATCACTTCTTAGTAGATGCACATTGCTCTAACTCAAAATAACTGACAGCACTCAAACTCCAGCTACATAAAATGCCTCATATTTTCTATAAAGCTCTAATTTTTTTGTACTTAATTATACTCATGCTTTTTTTCTTATGGACTGAACTGCATCCCCCCCATCCTCTAAATTCGTATGTTGAAGCCCTAATCCCCATGTGATGGTACTTGGAGATCAGACCTTTAGGGAGGCAATTAAGGTTAAATGAAACCATAAGGGTGGGGCCCTCATCTGACAGAAATGGTGTCCTTATAAGAAGAGACACCAAAGAGCTCTCTCTCCATTAAAGGCCATGTGAGGACACAGCAAGAAGGTGGCTATTTACAAGACAGGAAGAAAAGCCTCCCCAGAAATCCATGTTACCAGAACTTTGATGTTGGACTTCAGCCTCCAAAACTGTGAGAAAGTGACTTTCTGGTGTTTAAGCCACTCAGTCTGTGATATTTTGTCCTGACAGCCCAAGCTGACTAACACACTTTTTTACATAATACTGGAGAGTTAACTAAGTTAAAGAACCTGTGCCATTTGTCAAACTTGCCTATGATATAGGAGGCGGGATCAAATTGGTCTCTGGGGCTAGAGAGGGTAGGAATGAGCCACGTCAGTGCTGCACTCTTCTCGCAATACTGGTCCTGGATAAAACCTCTGATTTGAGCGTAGTAGGGCTTTCCATCTTGTTCATCAATCACAGAAACAACATCACCAATTTGGTAATATACTCCCTGGGTGAAAGAGAAGATAATCCCACATTGAAAATAAAAATAGAACACCACAGCTATGAATGAACCTTAATAGGTAAGCAAGTTTTCAAAGTGGTCAATAAAAGGTGTTCAAGATAGTCTAATGTATCAATCAATGTTTATATGTTTGGTGCCAATTGTAAAGTTGTTTCACTTTTGAATGAAAATTATACATACACATTCGAGGGTGCATATATGACAGCTGACATCTGGAGAAAACATTTATTCATAAAGTACTTTGATTTTATATTGCTATAATACTATCCCTACTTTTTAAAAAATAGATTTTATTTTTTAAGAGGTTTTAAGTTTACAGTAAAATTGAGCAGAAGTAGAGAGATTTCCCATAGACTCCCTGCCCCCACACATGCACATCCTCCCCTATTATCAATAACCCCACCCACCACTGGAGTGGTACACTTGTTACACAGATGAACCTACACTGACACAGCACCATCAAAGACCAGAGTTCACATTAGGGTTCACTCTTGGTGCTGTGTATTCTATGGGGTTGGGCAAATGAATAATGACATGTACCCACCATTACAGTATCATACAAAGACAGTATTAATAGTTTCACTACCCTAAAAATCCTCTGTGCTCCGTACTGTCCCTACTTTGTTAGCCACAGTCATGAAGTGGTAGTAAGGTTAAACGGCTTGCTGAAAGTCATAGAGACTGCAGCCGAAGCTCCTACATCAGCTCAGTAGTCTTTCTCTGTACTGTGTTGAAAATCAATGCTGATTTAATAAGAATGCATTCTACATGCCACCCTCCCCAACCATCCATTCAAAGAAAATAGATACCATGAATTCAAACCAAAACAAATTCAAACCAAAAATAATCTTTGGATTATAGTCTTCAGGATATGTTTACCTCAACCTATTGTACATCTCCTAGACTCACTACTGCCTTTCTCTTCCACTCCCAGTTGAGTTTTATATCCTTCCACAACAGAACTACTAGTACTTCTGGAATTCAAGGCTTTGTGTCTCATTCATTTCTGTTCCACTTTATACCCAACTAACTAATGTGTACATGTCCTGTGTTAAATCTTCCCTATGACTCTAGCATCCATCCTATGTCCTCTTTCCTGGGTCTTGAGCTGGAAATAATCTCTCCTCTAAACACCCATAATGATTGATCCAAATCTTTATGACATCCAGCACCTCCTTAAGTGGGAGTAGTTTTCTCGGCGGGATATACTGTCCTTGACTATGGAAACAGTGTAATTAATTGCTGCTTCCCTTCAAACAGGGACTTGGCAGCAGGTAAACCTGCAGGAATGTGTACCTCAACCATAAAAACACTTCTGATGAAATACTTCCAGTAACGGAACTCTAACATAGCACCTGATAGGCCAGGAGTTTTTTCCTGGTGGACCCTTTATCCAAGTGTCTGACGGTGGCTGTTTCATCTGGTCACTATGGATGGGTCTGGTCTATGCAGGCCAGTCTGTTACTTGCTAGTTCCTACCCATCAACAGCTGGTCCTTCCTCCCAGTCATTAGTCCAAAGTTATTTATCATATCGTTTGCATTTATGGTTTGCTTTGTCCACATGTATAATCAATATTCCCAAATTCTAAATGAGAATACTTGCTTATCATAGGCTTATCATGCATATCACAGCATACTCAAATGTATGCTGAATGAATATGAATCCAAAACATCTGCTTTCATAGTGTGAAGGCAGAAATGCAAAGACAATGTCTTAGTGAAAGATTCCAGTGGTAGGCAGTGCCTGGCACATAGTAGGTATTTATTAATATGTGCTGTGTTGTGTACATATATATAACACCAAACAGTACTAAGTCACTGATCTGAGTGGTCTCCTCATTTGCTGAGAGGATTCAAGGTTTCTGGTGGAGAAAAGGGATCCACAAGAGAACAGCACTAGCTTAGGCATCACCAGACCTGCGTTCATGGAGTTGTTCTGCCACCGCCATGCTCCAGGGAGGCCACTCAGCCGTTCTGGGTCTTGGGTTGTCACACTCTTGACCGCTGACCCCAGTGGCTCCCACTCAGGCTCCTCTTGCATGCCTGATCTGGGCTCTAGCTCAGTGGCTGGCAGTGACCTCTTGAACTTGCCACCATGGTGCTGCATGCCAGTGGCACTGCTGTGACAGCCCCCACAATACTGGGCATTTGCAACATTGCTTGACTACTTTGTAGGATTATTGTCCTTACCATTTAATGAACATGGGTGGCAGACAATATGAAAGTACAGTCAGTCACAATAATAGGTCCCACACGCCTTTCCATGGAAACACACATGGAAATCATTAGCACACTAAACCCGTAGCTCAACAAGTTGCTTCTGGCCTTAATCTGTAAATTGTGAAGGTAATGCACAAATATGAAAATATGATAACTCCTACATTCATTGAGTGCTTACTCTGCTAAGTGCTTAACACATATGATTTCACTTGACCCACTGAGGTAGAAACTATTTACAATTCCTATTTTAGAGATGAGACATCAGAGAGGTTGGTCCTCGTCACATAGCTAGTCACTTGCTAAAGCTATAGAACCAGGAACTATGCTCTAGGCTTAAGCTCTGGTATGAGACTGCCTCACTCCATGACTTGTTGGCTATGTGATCTTGGACAAGTTAATTAACCTCGCTATGCCTCAATCTTCTCATCCAGAAAATGGGGATAGTAGTATCCACCTCATAGGGTGAACTGAATGAAATAAAGCATGCAAAATGTTCAGTCACTGATACATAGCAACTGTTTGCTAAACTTTAGATATTTTATTAATAATGTATTAAATGTTGGAAAAACAAGAGACATGTTTGCCTGTATACAGACTTCTTTTGTTGTTGGTTTTTCCCAGCCCTGCTGAGGAATGCCAGTGTAACCCTGTGGGGAGGAACAGTTTCAACTACATAGATTGTGGGCTTTAAAAAAAGTATACTTAAGGGCATAATCACTTCAGTTTCTCAGTCCACCTGGGTCAAGTATAAAGCACTAACTCACACCACTGTCCCCTAAATGATAGTTCAGATCCCAAAGCACCAAATAGCCTTCATTGGTTGCTGCCTGTGCCGTGCCAGGCCTGCCGAGCCTTGGGGGGGTCTATGTTCTAATTCCTTTCCTAAGACTTCTGGTTTAAACACAACAATCTGTCACTTCTCTCACTGAGGTATCAGATGTCCATGGACTTTGGCCCTAGGAAACCTGACCTCCTCATTCTTTTATCAAAACATCTTGGAATTCCTCTCACCATGGATTTCTAGTAGGTGTTAATCCTCACTACTGCCCTTACTCAGCTCAACTCCACTTAAAGGCATTTTAGAATCTCTGGGCCTACTCTACCCATCTGACACCACAGTCTACAACCTGTACTAGTCCAAATCCTGTCTCTGTCCTTCTTGTTCTTCAATGCCATCACACTAATGGCTCACTCTTCCATGGCTCCACACTATACAATCAGCACTCTAAGAACACTTCCTATAATCTACACTAAAAAACAATACTTAAGATCCTCATATCATATGTCAGTAGGCACCTTCTCCTCCCACTTCTGCTCTAGATGAGATGTTTGAATAACAGTCACTCATGGGGGAAAATAGTTAAGAAGGGAACAAAAAGTATAATCACACCTTAAACAAATAAAGAGGAGAGACCTTTAGACTAATCCAACATTTTAGTGGCACATTACCCACTAGGCCCAACTCTCCCTTCAGTAACTCTACAAAAGCTTACCTTGTAGAAGATTGATTCTGCAGTGATTATAGTGGAAACTGACTCAGGAGCTTTAATGGGCTATGAAAATACAAAACACGTTAGCACATTCATAGTATGTATGTGTGTACAGGTATTTTCCCAGCCCTATGAGAGTTCTGTAATTTGAGAAATACTAAAATGTACTGTTTGGTGACAAGAACTGCAATAAAAAGATAAATGATTTTCTGAATGTTGTGGCAAAGCAGTCTATTTCCACGGCAGTTTCTGCTACTATTAGCTTAAAAATTGCTGAGACAAAGAACAAGCTTCGATTATGCTGCTGAAATCTAATGCAAAGTCGTCTCAGAGCTTCACTACACATAAACATTCCAGTTATAAAAATGTACCTGCTCTAATAGCCTGAGCATGACAGAATGCAAGTAATAAAAAATGTACAGATGAATACAAAGTGAAAAAGTGTCTCCTTGAAGACATTTTCCAACTCAACTATTTAGCCATAATACTCAACGTCGGTTTTCTAGCAAGCTGGAACTAAGGCTTTAGAAACTTTGACAGTTCTTAGTAATTTGCTACCATCCAACCATTTTTGAAATCCCTACTAAAGCTTCAATACATACTTTTATGCCACAACATAGAAAGTAGGCCTCCCCAGATGTGTCTTGCTTAGTAACATTGAAGAAAGGGTTGCAGACAAACGATAATGAATTAATTGCTGAGAACATGGTATACTATACTTAAAAGGAAAAAAAAATGTGCATATGTGATACAAATACCAATAAGATATTTTGCATAATCAACAAATGCCTTAACTAAATTATAAAAATCTTAAATAAATTAGAAGCAACTACTCTGAAAAAGAAAATACTTTGGGGAAGGGAACATCACACGCTGGGGCCCATCGGAGATGGGGGGCAAGGGGAGGGAGAGCATTAGGACAAATATCTAATGCACATGGGCCTTAAAACCTAGATGATGGGTTGACAGGTGCAGCAAACCACCATGGCACATGTATACCTATGTAACAAACCTGCACGTTCTGCACATGTATCCCAGAATTTAAAGTAAAATTTTAAAAAATTAATTAAATTAAATTACATTAAAAAAAAAAAGAAAATAGTCTGCCATCTGCATAAGTCTACTGCAGGGTCCCTTTGTGTTTCAGAAATAAATATGCCCGACTTCAAAAATGTCTTTACGGGTAAGTGAAACATTCCTGTTCTGAAAGAAAAGAATACCATACTGAGACTTAAAAAAATAGTCTATAATGCACTGGCCATTGTGTTTGAACATTATCCCTTGTTTATAAAAACTGATAATTTAATTGCAATAAAAATATGCTTTCAATTATTTCCAGCACAGGTCTTTCAACAATGTCTTTTCTTAGAGTAGAAGAGATAAGGCTTAGCAGAATTTTTGACTCATATTCATCAAATACATCATCATCATAAGTCAATAAGATACATTTTCTGGGGCTTTAATAATAAATAAATAGGCAAATGATGAGTTCTAGTGTTAATATTTACTTAATTTTTAAAGAATGAAAAAAAAGTTTTCTTAGTGTACCTGGCCATATCAAGAACCATAATCTCTCCTCTTCCTTTCCATAGAGAACCCCAAAAAATGGGCTCAAGGCTGATGTTTCTTTTAAACTCATATTTTATATTTTCCAGGGGAAAAAAATAAAAGCTAAAAAAAAAAAAAAAAAAAAGGAAAGAGTATTATTACCTTTAAAAATAGTGAGCCTCCTGCAACAGAGCTCATTCCCTTTTGGGGAGTCTGGACCACTCCCCAGAATACTAAGGAAGGGCTACCAAGGGCAGAGTCCAAGTTCAATGGCGGGAAATGAAGGCAGTGGCAGGATACACACAACATCATTACAGTAAAAGGCACTGTCCACAAATATCTTACATTTTTCAATTTAAATATATGTCTTCTCCCTTTTCCTTTGGTGGAAACTTTCTTCTCAGCAGCCGGAGCAGATTTGTATTTAGTGTTTCTGAGCCGAGCAGACCTCCTGTGAATTTCCTGCTTACTCTGTTACACAAACAAATTAAAGAACAGAGAAAGAAGTAAAAAGTGTATAAAGGTTGCAATACAATCATCTTACAAGGATCCCAGAGTATGTACTTTATAGGAGTATTTAACAATTAAGAGTGCGCCTTTGCTTTTCAACAGAGGTAATTTCAGCAACTGGGCTAAGTAAAACCGGAAGTTCAGCACCGGAATCTCGGAGCTCGCTGGACAGGCGTCTCCAGAGCCTCCAAAAGGTGTGAGCTGCTTGTAATAGGTCAGGAGGCGGAAGTAAGAGTCAGTCTGGGCCAAGACAAACACTATTCATTTGTTGTGTCTACAATAAAGAAAAACACTTAACAACTTTACTCCCTAAGGCCAGATAACGTATTAGGTTATGGCGCCTCCTACAACTGAATACTTAAGCTGCCATTTACAATAATGACATAATAATCTTACTTCATAACCTGATATGACAAAACCTTTAACAAGCAATGAGGTCCAGCACCTGCACTTGTGGCATGACCCTGTTTACGACTGTGTAGACGTGTGCATAATGAGATTTTCTTAAGGGCTTTACATTTTGGTTCTTATTGCTTTGAATTTCTTATAACAGGTGCTTTGGAATGGGTCAAACCAAAGATCTCAGTAGGAGGTGGGGAGGGGCGTTCCAGCCGGCAGGACCACGGCGAGCCGGGAAGCCCGGGCCCGCCCGCTCCCAACCCGCCCGGCCCCTGCCGCCTAGCGCCCGGTCGGCCTCCGCCGGCGGGAGGGGCCGGAGGAGCTCACCTGCTTGCCGCCCCCGCCCCCGTTGCTCTGCGGAGGAGTGGCGGAGGTGCTGGCGAAGGTCGCCGCGCCGAAGCCGCCGCCACCGCCGCTGCTGCCCCCAGTCCCTCCAGCCGCCCCCGAGCCTGCGCCCCCGCTGCCCGCGCCGCCCCGGCCAGTGCAATGATGGCAGAGGATCTCCCCCTGCGTGCCCTTCTTCCACATGGAGGACGACGTGGTCTTGCATACGCTGCAGGTGGGCTTCAGGCCCAGCGGCATGGTGGCCGGCTCGGGCGGCCCCCGCGGGCGCAGAGACACGGGAATGGCGGACGCTAGCCCGGCCGCCCCCTGGTCGGCCCACCACTCCCGGCGATAGGAAGAGCGGTGAGGGCGACAGCACCGAGCTGCCCGTGAAGGGACTAGGCCGCTAGCGCTGCCGCGTGGAGGCGGGAAGCGGGTTCCGCCGGTTCCGCCGGCTCGGCGCCCAGCACCAGCCCCGGGAGGCCCGAGGCACTGGGAAGCAGGACCGGGAACGGGATATGGCCGGCGGGGACGCGGAGGCTTCCGGCGGTGAGCTGGCCCCAGGGCCGCGCAGCCCGACCGCCTGACCGGAAGTGCAGCACCCGGAATTACTGGGAGCTTGCGGTAGTTCCGCTTGCTGTCGCCTAGGGGCGCGGTTCTCAAACTTTTTGGTGTCAGGCCTAGAATTTGCGGGGTAAAATGCAGGACGCCCAATGAAATGTGACTTTCAGGTAAACGACGAACAATTGTTTTTAGCGTGAGTGTATTTCATGCAATAATGGTTTATCTGAGAGGAGTTTAACTGGGAGTCCTGTATTTTTATGTGCTAAATCTGGCAATCCAGGTCTGGCGTGGTGGCTCACGCTTGCAATCCCAGCACTTTGGGAGACCAAGGCTGGCGGATTACTTGAGCTCAGGAGTTCGAAATCAGCCTGGCCAACATGGTGAAACCCCTTCTCTACTAAAAATACAAAAGTTAGCCAGGCTCAGTAGTGGCGGGCTCCGGGGTAATCCCAGCTACTCTGGAGGCTGCGGCAGAAGAATCTCTTGAGTGCGGGAGGTAGAGCCTGCAGTGAGCCAAGATCATGCCATTGCACTTCAGCCTGGGGGATAGAGTGAGACTCTAACTCAAGAAAAAAAAAAAATCTGGCAATCTTTCTCAGGACCCCTTTACACTCTTAAAAATTATAATTTGGACATGCCCCTACATCTCCCCCCAACCCATACTTTTGTTTAGTTGAATTCAGAGCATGCCATTTACGGACATCGACAAGGGATTCAGAAAATGCCATCCACTGACATTTATGTTTTAGAAATTGAAATTGAGACATTTTACAGCCTAAGATGTCAAGCGCACATTCTTCAGCCATTGGGTAATATCGTTGCAAGTCCCTTGGACTCTGAAGAGTATACCGATTAGAGAATGTGGAGAAAATTGAATAACTGGCTGTTATTCAATTCAAAACTGTTGGAAAACAGTTTTGGCTCTGAGGACCCAGCAGTTGACAAACAGCGGGCCTGGGACAAGCGCAGTATGAGAAGTCAGATCGCCTCTTTTAATGTCACTAGTCAGTACAGGCCTCGCCAGACAAGTCTCTCCTCAGCCTCATTTGGAAGAGCATGTCCTCTCTTCATGATCCTGGGTTTCCTAGACTTAGTATCCTTGGAAAAGTCTTGATGAATATATTGTGGTGGGAAGCAATGGGGAGAAACAAATGCCTATTATGTCACAAAACCACATTTAGTGCTTATGACAACCTTGGAATGAGATATTATCAGATTTTACTGTTAATTGGTGATCAACAGAGGCACTTCTATGTGAACTGGCTGTCATTATAGCTGCTGCCGTTGGCACCAATTTCGAGGAGGACTTTGGAGCAGCCCTCTGGGGTGTGGGTTGTGGCTCAGTCATCCCCCCTCTAAATCTGTTTCCGTAACAGTAAAAATAAGTTTCCAGGACTCTTATGGGGATTAGGGCCAACTGTAAAAGTGGTTGAGGAGACTAGGTGAAGTGTTTAGAGCCTGCCATCCCAAAATATGCCACTTTGGCATATTGATTCTTCTGAGCCAGGGGCAATGGAGCAAAAACAGATGCAGGGAAGGCTCTCTGACCACCCTCTTTCTGTTTGAGGCGGAACATAAAAGTTCCCTTATGAAAGGTGCCCTTTCTGTACCAGGAAGAGGAGAGTATTATTGCTAGAGGCAGAGTTGCCACTGAGATGAATCTACAAACAAAACCTTACAAAAATTTGTAACCTATATTTTTCATTAACTTTCCACATACAGTTCTTAGTCACTTTCCCACAATTTGCCAGCCTTAGCCCAAGCCCCTTTGTCGTGTCACATCCCTGCAATTTATTGTTCTTTGTTTAAAAGGACATATAAGCTTTTGGGCCTAGTAACTTCTACGGGTCTTTATTTTTCTTACAAAGTCTCCTGTGCATGTATAAAAACATTAAAACTTTTATGTCTTTTCCGGTAAATCTGTCTTATGTTAGTTTAATTCCCATGCCCAGCCACAGAACCAGAGGTAAGAAGAGGCCAGGCATAGTGGCTCATGCCTGTAATCCCAGCACTTTGGGAGGCTGAGGCAGGTGGATCGCCTGAGGTCAGGGGTTCAAGACCAGTCTGGCCAACATAGCGAAACCCCATCTCTACTAAAAATACAAAAAATTAACTGTGTGTGGGCCGGGCGCGGTGGCTCAAGCCTGTAATCCCAGCACTTTGGGAGGCCGAGGTGGGCGGATCACGAGGTCAGGAGATTGAGACCATCCTGGCTAACACGGTGAAACCCCGTCTCTACTAAAAATACAAAAAACTAGCCGGGCGTGGTGGCAGCGCCTGTAGTCCCAGCTACTCGGGAGGCTGAGGCAGGAGAATGGCGTGAACCCGGGAGGCGGAGCTTGCAGTGAGCTGAGATCGTGCCACTGCACTCCAGCCTGGGCGACAGAGCGAGACTCCGTCTCAAAAAACAAAACAAAACAAAACAAAACAAAAAAAACTGTGTGTGGTGACAGGCACCTGTAATCCCAGCTACTTGGGAGGCTGAGGTGGGATAATCACTTGAACCCGGGAGGCACCTGGGCAACAGAGTGAGGGACTCTGCCAAAAAAAATAAAAAATACATGGTGGGAAAGTTTTTCCTCACCTACAGTGTGAGGAAATCTAAGCTCTTGATTTCCATGCTCCTGAATGTCTCTCCATTTGGGAACATATACCTCTCCTTGCAGCTCATCTGCAAGAGACTCCCTCTCATTCACTGAAAACTTTGGCCCATAGCTCACCAGCTTCCTCTCCAATACAGTACACTGCCATGGTTCAGGTCAATATCCACATGTACAATTGTCCCTCAGTATCCATGGAGGATTGATTCCAGGACTCCCGATGATACCAAAATCCACAATCCACAGATGCTTAAGTACCTTATATAAAATGGCATAGAATTTGCATATAACCTATGCGCACCCTCCTGTGTGCTTTAAATCATCTCTAGATTACTTATACCAAATATGAAATAAATGCTATATAAATAGTTCCTATATTGTATTGCTTTATTTTTATTGTCATATTGTTCATATTTATATTTATCTATTTTTGAGAATATTTTTGGTCTGTGGTTGGTTGAGTTTGTGGATGTGGAACCCATGGCTGTGGAGGGCCAACTGAATAATCACCCAACAGCAGGCTTCTCAATTCCTCCCCATCCCACTCATCTTCATCCTTTATCCTTGTCAGCTCCCCAGTCCCTGGCTGCTGTATCCTCTAATCTTCTTAGATGATTAGGAAGATTTACATTTTTTTCCTTGCAAGTCTTTTTTTTTTTTTTTTGGAAATTGTGCTTCCTTTTGAATACTTAATTCACACTGTTTCCTCTCTTGGATGCTACTATGGTAACAATCAGGTCCCCACCTCTCAAGAACATTGCATCTGACCAGCTGAGAGCCAGCGTGAGAGCCAGCCTCAACATCGGCCCCAAACCAGGGTTTTTGGAATAACAAGGAACAGCAAAAACCAGCCTTTCCCTTCACTTAGAAAGGAAGTATGAATAGGAGGGCCCCCATCTCCACTGTCCAAACAGAAAACCAAGAGTTCAGTGCCAACATGGAAAACAAAATGTATCAGGAATGAAGTACAGTACCCCCTCACATACTCAAGGTCAAAATGGGTTTGGGGAAATACTTATTTGACCATCTGGCCTCTTCTAGTAGGCATGGCCCCATACCAGCATTTTTAAAAGAAGATATTTTCATTCTTCTTACATTTCCTAAAGGGGTATAAAATCTACTAAAAGAGATACAATAACTCAGAGTAAATCAGCTCACTCAAAAGAATCATTCCTGGATAATCATTTTTGGTTGCTGAGATTATTCAGCACATTACTTCAAAGTGGCAAAATTCAGGGCAATCTGAGAAAAGAGAATTAAAAAGTGGTGGCCACATTTGCTGACATGTTTATGTAGGACACACATAACACAACTCCCATTTTTTTCAGTGTGTATGTCAAGAGCCCAAGATCCCTGATCATCAAAATAAGTTATTTTGTGCATTACAGTACACAGGACAACAGAGGGAATGACACTTTCTTGGAGGGTGTTGCAGGAAGTCAGGGACCCCGAACAGAGGGACCAGCTGGAGCTGTGGCAGAGGAACATAAATTGTGAAGATTTCGGCCAGGCGCAGTGGCTCACACCTGTAATCTCAGCACTTTGGGAGGCTGAGGCAGGTGGATCACCTGAGGTTGGGAGTTCAAGACCAGCCTGACCAACATGGAGAAACCCCATCTCTACTAAAAATACAAAAAATTAGCCAGGCGTGGTGGTGCATGCCTGTAATCCCAGCTACTAGGGAGGCTGAGGCAAGAGAATTGCTTGAACCCTGGAGGCAGAGGTTGCAGCGAGCCAAGATTGCAGCACTGCACTCCAACCTGGGCAACAAGAGAGAGACTCCATCTCAAAAAAAGAAAAAATTGTGAAGATTTCATGGATATTTATCAGTTCCTAAATAATACTTTTATAATTTCTTATACCTGTCTTTACTTTAATCTCTTAATCCTATTATCTTTGTAAACTAAGGATGTATGTCACCTCAGGACCACTGTGATAATTGTGTTAACTGTACAAATTGATTGTAAAACATGTGTGTTTGTACAATATGAAGTCAGTGCACCTTAAAAAAGAACACAATAAGTGATTTTTAGGGAACAAGGGAAAACAACGATAAGGTGCCTGCGAGGTCGGGCAAAAAGAGCCACATTTTTCTTCTTGCAGAGAGCCTATAAACAGATGTGCAAGTAGGAGAGATACCGCTAAATCCTTTTCCTAGCAAGAAATATTAATATTAATACCCTGGGAAAGGAATGCATTCCTGGGGGGAGGTCTGTAAACGGCTGCTCTGGGAGTGGCTGTCTTATACAGTTGAGATGAGGACTGAGATACGCCCTGGTCTTCTGTGGTACCTTCAGGAAACTCTGCCCTGGTAAATTTATGGTCAGACTGGTCCTCTGCTCTCGAACCCTGTTTTCTGTTATTTAAGATGTTTATCAAGATAATACGTGCCCCACTGAACATAGACCCTTATCAGTAGTTCTGCTTTTGCCCTTTGCCTTGTGATCTCTGTTAAACCCTTATTAGTAGTTCTGCTTTTTGCCCTTTGAAGCATGTGATCTTTGTACTTACTCCCTGTTCTTACACCCCCTCCCCTTTTTAAAACCCTTAATAAAAACTTGCTGATTTGAGGCTCAGGAGGGCATCATGGTCCTATGTATATGTGATGTCACCCCCGCTGGCACAGCTGTGAAATTCCTCTCTTTGTACTCTTTATTTCTCAGCCAGCCAACACTTATGGAAAATAGAAAGAACCTATGTTCAAATATTGGGGGTGGGTTTTCCCAATAGGAGGTGACTGAAAGGCACTGTGCAAAAGGCCTATATCACTCTGTAGTGGAAGGACTGGAGCCCAGTGCCTTGTGGCCTTCATTAACTTGTCCCCACCTCTTCTTTGGTTGCAGTGGCCTCAGTGGGAGCAGTTTCTTCTATGTGTTCTGCTGACTTCTCCTCTTCCTCCTCCTCATCCTCTTGGGGATACAGGTGCAGGTATTTCTACATGCATTCCTGCATGACCCAGAATTGTTCTACACAGTCTTTCCCCTTGAGATCCCCTGCACTATAGTGGAAGCAGAAAAAGGCCAACTTGAACTGTTCCCCACAGGGACCACTGGCCATGCCCCCAAGGCATGGGCAGTTCCAGTTAATGTCTTCATTTGGCAGCATCAATCCGTACTGAGTATGGATCATTGGGGTCATCAGCCACCAGCTCTACATTGCTTGGAGTTTTATGGTCATCTTTGGTCACAAGTATGATTCCATCCTTCCCTTCCTGCTGGCATAGGACATGGCTGCGGCATACAGACCAGTGCTTAGACTTTGCAGAAGCAGCCACAGCAGCTGCCCCATTTTTTTACAACCTTTTAAAATTAAGTATGATACACATACTCTAAAGTGTACAACTCATATGTGTATAGTTTAATTATCACAAAGCAATGACACCCAGGCAACCAAATCAAGAAATAGCCATTACCACCAGAAGTCCCCCTCTTGTCCTTTATGGAGAATCAACCGCTGTCCTGACTTCTAACACCGTAGATTTTGTAGATTCCCTTTATGAGTTAGGGAACTTCTTTTCTATTCCTGTTTTTATCATGAATGTATTTAATTTTATCAATGGCTTTCTCTACAAGATGATCATTTTTTTTTCCCTTTATTAATGTGTGGATTACATAGACAGATTTCTGAATGTTAAATTAACATTGCAATTCCTGGAATAAACCCAACTTGGTTGTGATGTATTTTATCCCTTTTACATATTGCTAGGTTTGGTTTACTACTATTTTGTTTAAGATTTTTACATCTATGTTCATAAGTGACACAGACTTACAATTTTTCTTTCTTGTAATATCTTTGTTGAGTTTTAGCATCAGACTGTGATAGCCAAAGTGAGAAGTTTGGATTTTATTTTCAGTGTGACAGGAAACTATTTGAGGTTTTCACATAGTGCTGATAAGAAAAAAAATCTCAGATATTAAGAGGGAAAGAAAGCAATTTAGAAAACAGCACAGAATAAGATCACTTTGTGTAAATTAGAAACGTGTGTGTGTGTGTATGTGTGTTGCATTTTTTAAGTTGTTAGAACTAAAACTAAGAATTATTGACAATTGATGTTAACAGGGGTGATAAGGGAGTTTTGATTTTGTGTTGTTTGACATTTTTTCACCATGTGTATGCATTACTTTTATTTAAAAACATAAACAAGAAGAGAAAGTATCAAATGGAAAAGAAGAAAATAAGGGCAGTTTGTTGACCCTAAAACTCTCTCCCAGCCAGAGACAGCAGTGCATAGTTGACAGTACCTGGTTTGAGGGCTGGCCACTGGACCTTGTTTCTGAAGCTCAGTTCATCTGGAAAGTGAGGATGATATTGTCC